TAACTGTTCTGTACAATCCTTCCAAGTTTGAAGATTGGGTTTCCCCAATTCAGCTACTAAAGGGCACTTTCCTGGGAGGACCCACTCTGTGAGTGCATAACTTGGATGTCTCAAATCCAGTCTTCACAAAACCTGCAGGACTTCTAGAGGAGAGTGAGGGGAAACATTCCTACAAATGTGGTGTCTCTAGGTGCTTGGGGCCATTTTATAGGATTTTAAAGTAAAAAACAAATTGACAAATTGATTCATTAATTCATCAGAAAAAATGCCTAATTCATGATTCATCAGCCTTTACAAATCATGAGTCAAAATCAATCATCGTTTTTCTGAGTCATGCCCATCTTTAACCACAAAGTTATAACAATGGATGGGGAACAGATTGTAAGAGATCTTACAATATGATTCATAATGGCTATATAATATTAGTACACTTATTGAAGTGGTAGCAATACAACAGAATTTTAACCAGAGAATGTAATGTTATCGTACAAATTAAAATTCACCCAGGCAAGCTTTTAGAAATATCTTTGATGCTGCACACTTGCAGGAAAGGCTTCGGAACACATAGTTCAGTGTTAGCTTGTAATATCATAAGCTCCTGCTACTGAATTTCCAACTTAAAGGATTTATTCTTTGTGTGTTTTTTCTTTAAAAGATTGTGAAAGTGACACAGATTCTGAAATACACGCAAGAATGCATGACCCACATAAGGATGACATGTTATACCGCAGAGTTGCCTTAATTGAACCCAAACCTGCTGCTGAGTTCAATCGTTTCTTGCCAAGCAAAGCCAAACCACCAACATATATGCCAGCACCCTTGAGGAAGAGGAGGACGGAGAAGAGCGAGGACAACAGAAGAAGCTGGGCAAGTCCCGTGTTCACTGAACCGGATGGAACATTTTCCAGGTACTGGAGTGGTGTCGAGATCTGTTAAACGCTTCAGATGGATAAAGAGTTAGCATAGTACTATGAAAAAGCCTGGTACAAACGTAACATTGTTTGAGGAGATCAGAAGCACGATGGGAGCATGGGTACCTTTTTCCTACTTCCTCTGGTTCAAATTCTTTCCCCACTCCTTGTGCAGCTTGTTTTAACAATTCTGAATTCTTACATTTTCATTTATACTAACTTGATTTGCCCTTGCAATCCAGGACTTAGTTTGAGAACTTTGATTATAAAAGGCAAGCCATGGTTAAGGCAGATGCCGTGTTGGGCCCTGATGAAAAATAAGCCATGCGGTGTAAAATGGGTTTTGTGGAGAGGGGAGGGGGTTCACACGTCTTCTGCAAGCTTCAGAAGGCTTAGCGCTGTTCCATTTCCTGCCCAATCATTATATCTAACAATCTTGGAATAAGAGTTTCAGTTTTAATGTGAGAAAATATAATTTTTTTCTTTTTTCAAACCTCAATGTGTGTTTAGTTTTGGTTTTAAGCTTACTAAAACAGTGAATCGTTTATTGTAACATTACACATTTACCGTTTTCTCATGCCTAAATACTCTTCAGTAGTTATTTCTGTTCATCGGCTTGGATACTGAAAGTAGAGTTTAGAATTTAAGGAAATCCATGGAAGAAAAAATTTCTATTTCATCCTACACTTTCCCCTTAAAAGGTTCTCCATTGAGTTGGAGAAGGACTGCTGAACCATGTGAAGTAGGGTGCAGTGAGCTGCTGAGAAGCAAGAATTTCTGACTCTGTGATTAAACCAATTTTTGGCAATCCTCACTTCTCTTGGTGACCCATCTCACTTTGTTCAAATGGAATCCCTAGCTTTCAAAGATCTGGGCAAGGGAGGCTGCAGCACATTTTTCTTAAAATTCATTTTTCTCTTGGTTCCAGGGCATTGTCGGTTGCCAGCAATATCTGAGAAAGTAGGCTGCAGCCTACAAAAATAGTGTATTCTGTTAAAATTACTGTATCATCTAGTACTATTTTCATATTGCAAATAGGTGTTAGCCATGTTCCTATTTGCCGTACAAAACTAATATTGTGCTAAATATTTCATGGATTCTGTTTTTTTTTTAAAAAAAAATACACATATTTTGGCTTATGTTTTGATTGTAATGGGTCTAGTTGCTATACCTTGAAACCAGGTTGTATTGATTTAATTCTGTTGCTTTATTTTGGTTGATCTTGGCAGGGAAGGTAATGACTCTCATAGCTTCCAGTCCAATTAGCAGAACAGAATGTGGTGTTTGCATATCATGTTTCTCTACAGATAATGTATTTATATAGTAGTAGCTCCCATTTAGATTGTGAAGGGAAAGCTGCTGAATGCGATAGTGGATGTCTTGATAAAACACAGGTTTTTGTTAAAAACAACACAAGTCTGATGAGTTTTCCTGCATCTGGAATTCTGTATGCCAAGCATAATGAGACTCCCAAGTCTAATGCTCAGAAACAGTGACCATCTAGGCCCATTGTCTGTGCTTAAAGAAATGATCCTATCCTGTGGATTCAAATTATTCAATCCTAAGCTTCCAAGAAAAAATTGTTTAAACAGTGCCTTCCAAAGCCTCTATGTTTTAATGTGCCATGTATTTTTGGATTTCGAAATCTTTTTCTTAACATTTTATTTTGGTCAGATGGAATGCAAGTATTAAATAACAACCACCTAGTTACCCTGTTATGGTGCTTTTATGCTGGGAATTAATTTTGCTTCATTTCGTAATGTTTAGACGAAATATAGTCTTGTGTACTCAACAGCAAACTGTTTGTGAAACTATAACTTGACTGGATATTTTGTGCAGTAACCAGAGAACAACTTTGGAGCAAAAGCTGGAATGCAAGACAACAGCTAATGTTCTTTCAGACCTCTCCAAGTATTTGGAGGAGGAGGAAGAGGAGGAAGAAAGGACAATAGGGACACCAGACATTGAGACAGATGACCTTTATGTGCGCAAAATAAATGCTGCAGTGTCAAATACAAAAGTTCCCTCCCATAAGTTTCTTCCTAAGTCTTGGGCTCCTGGAGAAGAATTGCACTGGAAAAAAGCAAACAGGATATCTTTTTCCAAACAGTGGTATAAAGAGATTCAAGGATTCAGGTTTGTCATCTTGCATGCTCTTCTTTTCCATCCAACCAGACCTTTACTGTTTCTAACTGGCCCAGATCAGTGCACCATTTGGTGGCAGCACCAGTTAAAATCTTCACTGCCTGCTCCAATGGAAAGTGAATCATGAATAGCTTTTCTGTTCAGTTTTTGTACATTTCCTCTTCATACAACAGATATTTAAAATTCTGCATTGATACAAATTATTGCACACCGTTTTTGTACCAGAACTTACATATTCTTGTTTTTTCCCTTCTCCACTTGTGTGCTACTGTGTAGTAAAAGCACAGATTCTGAAGAGGATATTGCAGGAATCCAAAAACTTAATATTGCCTTGGGCAGTATGGATAACAGTTGCAGAGAAGATCCAAACTTCATTAAACAAGGAGCTGAATATGCAGCAAAATCATTACTTCAAGCTGCAGAAGATAAAATTAGGTGTTCTTCTGATCTACCAAGGTTGCTGGATATTTTGCATGAACTGTTATATCCTGTGTGTCAAAGAAGCTGCAGTTTGCTACAGTTTGCAATGAAAAGTTAACGTGGAAAGCTGCCTCTAACTTTTATTTAATGCTGTCTATATGTGTAAGCTTGCTGAATTTACACTAAAGTAAACCAAATTTTGTCTGTGTCCCAGTCCATACTGCCATGTATTCTGCAATGACTAGAATGCTTTGTTGTTTATTCTGGAATGGAAATATTTTCTTTTTAAAATGTTGGAGTTGAAACTGGCTATTTGTTTATGTTGCCATATATGCAGTGTCCATTTGCAAAGTTTGTGCATCTTTTTGGCCTGCTTCTTAATCTGAGTTCTTACTGAACTGACCGACCTTTCTCTGGTCTATACCACTTCAGAATGCCAGTGGAGGGTAACTTGACTGAATAAATCCTTTAAAGATACACACGGGTGGGTGTTTGTGTAGATGTGTTAAATAACATTCCAAACAGGAGATTGATATATCAGGAAATGAGGGTTTAGCCCTGTCTTCCTTCTGATATGCTAATTTTCAATATGAACAGTATTTCCATGCATGAAAATTCTTTTGTACAAATCCCACCTGGTGAAGTGATAAAGTTCAGATGCAGGTTTATTACCTAGTTGAGAACTAGAGCTTGATATCTGCTGGTTAATACAACTGTATTTTTTGTTTGTTTTTATATCTCAGTCAGTTTTTATTTCTCCGAGCACTACAAAAATATTCTGACGACTTCCTGTCCTTGGAAACTAGAACCAGAATTGATCCTACTGCAGGGCCTAGGCTTGTAACATGCAGAAAAAATAACTATTATAGGCCTGGATATGATCAAAGAGATGATGAAAATGGAGGCTGTTATCCTGATTTGGAAAATGATGATTTGTTTGTTCGTAAGACTGGTGCTTTCCATATAAACGCAGTAATTCCTCAAGATTTTGAGTATCTTAGGAAGTCTTATAATCAAGGACTGCACATTGAAGGGGAAATAGTTCTCCAGCCCAGAGATGATGAATTTATAATTCCAGATTTAGAAAAGGATGATTTGACAGTCCGCAAAGCTCAGTGGCAGAAGAAAGATGTACCCTTATCTGGTGCCCCAGATAGATATCAGCCTGCGCTCTTTCCGGATCCTTGGAGTCTTCCACCAGAAATCCAGGCCAAATTTCTTTGTTTGCTTGAGAAGACCACCGCAAGAGAAGAAAGAGAAAGTGGAGGGAAGATCTTAGCTCCCTCTTCACGACACAAGAAAGATGATATGCTGAATCGCAAAATTGAGCTGTTCAACATAGGAGTTAATGTGCAGCCAGTCAGCTTTGCTCCAGGAATGTGCAGCAAAGAAGATATGGAAAAATGGGAAGCAATCAGAGAGGCCAGCAAAATCAGACACAAGAAACAGCGGATGGTTGAAAGGTCAGCTCATGGCCATGCATGGGTTGTGCTTTTGTCCAAGTACTTTCAGATACATTTTGTAATGAAGAGAGGTGGCATCGTATTTCAAGCCGTGCATGTCTTGATGTGAAACGTCAGCTTGTTTGTATGTTCTGTAAAGTCCCTTATGCGTTCTTGTGTTGCTTACCAAGCTCATCAGCAATGCAAATTTCATACATCAGAAACTGCAGGACTGTTTGAACACTGGACTAATGTAATCTCCAAAGCAATACATCTTCCCTTCTAAGAGGGGCCAGGAACATTCATTTCTTTTTTTTTTTAACAAGTAAAAGATAGCTGGGATATCCCAGTAGCTGAAGTGGATATTCTTGAAAAATGCACTTTTCCCCCAAAGCCTCTGTAGGTAGGCATACGAGTCTTATGCATACACTGTGGTTTCTCTTCTGTCCCTTCCTTTTTTTCGGCCAGGACTTGTGCATTGTTGGAGACCAAAGGCAGTTTGTCTAACATGGCTGCCACTTCTTGAAAGAGGATGCTCAGAACCTCACAGAATAGCTGCCTGGAATGAATCCTTCAAGTCAAATCTTATTTCCACACATTGCTCTTTCTCTTCAAATCCATGATCAAATGGATTATTTGGGCCCTTAATGACTTCCAGGAATTTGAGTTCTTTTTACCACAGTGGCCTAATATTATCCCCTCCCCCTACATGCAGGCTATCTTTTCCAGCAATTTATATTCTCTGCTGCTTCTGAATTCCTTCATTAGAAAACTTTAATTCAAGCACAACTCTAAAGAATGTGGTAGATTAACATTCTTGGAGAGAATAAATATTAATTCCATTCATTTTTATTTTCAGTCCTGATTTGTCCAGGTTGTTGTATACATGATATATTTACCTAATATATTAACCATCCCACTAAAATATTAATGGATAACTCTGTCCCAATCTAGCCACTGAAATCTAGCCCTAAGGTGGGAAGATTTTACAACCTTTTCAGAAGATGTTTGGACTCTAGTGAGTGTGAGGTACTGATTGTTGAAAAACATCTATCTTCATGAAGAGACAGTTCTTGGTCAATCTTAATGAAGTTCCATATGTTTATCTGGTAAAGTTTTTTTCACCTTGAAATGTGTTCATTCCATTCCATTCCACTTGTGCCATTTGTTAGTCCTTCAGTAGACATTGTATGTTTTGCTAGCTGAGTAGTCCTAATGTGCCAGTGGTGCATGTGTCATTGAGATATAATTAGTTACAGTCTGGTCACGTACTTAAGCTTAACACATACAATGAATTTAAGAAATCATTAGGAGGGGGGAAATGAGACATCCGCAGCCTTGATTTTGTCTCCTTGCATATGAGGAATTCTTTATTGCCAACTTTCCTTCTCTCACTAGCTTCCCTCCTGTTTTCAGGTGCTGTGCCCGAGAATGGCACTCAAAGGATAAGGGCAGATTTACAGCCCGAACATTTTGTTCTGTCTCTATTTCTAAATATTTTTGTAATGATGGCAATAGACACAACTGCTAAATATAAATCAGTTACCATTGAGGCTGATGTGTTAAGCTTCTGATATGCCTTCTATATTTTTTTGCCAATATATTAGAATGGGTAAAGCTATGAAGATTGAAAATACATTATATCTGCATTTTTAAATATTAATTTAATGGAAGCTCATGAGTGTGTGCATGTGTTGTATCTCATTCCGATCCATGATGACATAAGTAGATGTAAATTTCTGCTCATGTTGAGGTTTACATTTCAATATTAAAATGAATAAAATCATAAATTTCAGCCGAATAGCTGAATTTTGAGATGGCCATAAGGGTGTCGTACACCAATTTCTTCCAAAATGTATTCATGATCCTGCTTGGTGTGTTGCACTTAAATGTTGTAGCTCTTTTTACATGTGATAAAATTAGGATGGGTAATATGAACTTGCTTTGGTTTTTTTTTTTCCCCCCTCAGGCTGTTTCAAAAGATTTCTGATGAGTATGGGTAAGTTCAGTGATAAAAGCATGTAAGACCATAAACATCCACCAATGCACCACTGATTAACAATCTAGTTTTATACATTCATAACTGGCTAAAGGCTTGTGCTTGTGGCAGCTTTTGCATGTTGCTTCCTGCCTCAGTGCTTGGCTAGTTGGCATAGGTGGCATGGTTCTAGCAGTTTCTTTAGAAGAAGGTCAAAACAGTGAGATTATGCATGTGTCAAAAGGAGTAAAACGAGCAGCTGTTTTCCAAGTTCTCAATATTTGTTGTGCCAGATTCTACAGCTTGGAAAAGTTACTTTTTCAAATATTCTTCCCAGAAATTATTAACCAGTATAGCTGGTGGGATAGTTCAGTGGTTTAGGAATCACTCTGCTGGTTTAGGAATCACTCAGAGGCTGTGCATTTAACTCCCAACTATGCATGCTCTGAGTAGAGCCAGCCTGTGTGGCCTTGGGCAAGCTGCACAGTCCCAGGATGCTCCCAGAAGAAGAGAATGGGAAACTACTTCTGAGTATTCTCCACCTGGACAACCCTGAAAAGGTTGCCATAAGTCAGAATTGACTGGATGGCACATGATGATTATTATTTCCAGTAGCTGTGGTGGCAAGGTTGATTCTGGGAGATATATTATAAACCCTACCATCCCAAACTTCTTCCAAAATCTTGAAAACTGTGTTGCTGAATTTAGTGCATAGCATATTTTATGAAGTTGGATGCTGCTTCCCTAGTCCAAGTTTCCTACCTATAGCTTCACACAGAAGCTGGTGACTCTCTTCCAGAGATGTTAATGACCAACAACAGCTTTGCTGAACCAATAATACATGCCTAAGAACAGGAATTACAAGATATATTATCAGCAGTTTGTCAGAAGACATTACATAGATGTATCAACTTGATGTGTTGTAGATTTTCAGCTGCTAGCTGTTGTGCTGATATGAAGATAAACCAATTCATTCAACCAAAAATACCTTTAAATAAGATGGTGAATATTTACATGGCAAATGTGCCAATTAATGTGGTGACTAATACTTATAGAAGAAAGTTTTCCTGCTTACTAATGGAATAGCACTTGTAACAAAATAGGAAGCTGGTATCTATTTTGGTACCACAGGTATTTCTGCTATGTGGGTTTTGTTGGATTCATGCTTCAAGAGGGTTCCAAAATGTCTGGAAATGTAAGCAACTGATAGTAAAATGAGATGATATTGTGTTAAACATATACTTAACACCAGAAACAGCACCTGCACATCCTAATTCTTTTCCCTCCAAAAATATGCATTAAAAATGCCATTGTGAGGCGATGGCATCTAATGTCTTGCGTTTTCTTAGCTCTCCACATAACTGTTTCATCACAGTGATGGTCTGAAGATGACATGTATTCTTTTGATATAATGGAAAGTGTTAGATTAGAAAGAAAGACTGGGAATTAGGCATGTGATCTCCAATTTTGGAAATAGCTGTGTATCTTGCAGTATTGTATCTGGTTTCGCTACAAAACAGTATGTCAGAGTCATTGACGAGCAATTTCACTTAGATAGTTGGACCTACAAGATTTGGTCATTCTTAGAGTGAAGGCAAGAAAGTATTATCAGTTGAGGTGCTTTTCAATGTTAATGACAGGCATTCTGGGTTTTGATAGCTGTGTGGGAGATCATAGGCTTTTCCCAAGTGCTTTTCATTCTGGCTAGATCCTGATCCAGCTGAAGCCCAACTTTTCACTGCATTTTCTTTAACACTTTGTTGTAGTTGTCATACAGCTTTGGGAGCCACTATGCTCCTTGCCTGGAAAAGCAGGTTAAAACAAATATTTGCAAACATATATAAGTGTGACTTTCCTAAACTCTGGAGCATGTTTGCTGCTGATATGCTGATTAATAGAGGGCATTGACATTTACTAGATACTATCATACTGGATGCATGCAGGTTGTCATTGGGGAGTGGAATGCTGTGTTATAGATAAGAATGTGCATGGATATTTTTGCTGTTTCTCCCATCCTACCCCTGCAATCTTATCTACTGTCTCTTCCGACTTTTTGGCAACAACCTTTGGAAATGGAGCAGATTTGTGAGAAGTATTTAAATAACTCCACAATAAGTGTTTATATGCTTCCAAGATGAGAAAGAATATGGAAACTTCTTCCTGATTAAGATAGAATTCTTTCTTAAAGATGGCTTCTGGGGATGGACTCTGGTCTTTTGTTCCTTTAGTCAAGCAAATAGGTACAAAATTGTGTGTGTGTGGTTTGTGAATTTAAAATAGGTAGATACGGTAATCTTTGGGAGCAAAATCATAAAGGCTTTGCATATATCTTCAAGACCTAAAAAGTTTATTACAACATGAGCTTTCGGGACAGACAACTCACTTCTTCAGATACGTTAAGTGCAGTTTTAGGGCTTTAGATACATATAGGTAGGATTGAGTGCAGCATACCGTCTTCAACTGCATGTAAAAATCCCCAATCATATATGTACACAAAGCACCAGAACTGTACTCAGTGCATCTGAAAAAGAGGTCTCTGTATCTATAGAAATTCATGCTGTAATAAATAATTTATTTTTAACCTGAAGTTGCTAATTCTCAGCAAAGTTTGGTCAAATATAATTCTTTATTGTTTTCTTTTTCTCTTTTGAAGCTTTTGTAAAAAGAAAGGACATGAAGTACTAATATATTAATCTTTCTTAAGTTCATCTCTTTTTAAATTTGGAGAAATTAGTCATAGCACCTGGATGAGAATAACTGGAACATAGGAATTCAATTGTAGTCCTTTAAGTTGCAACCAGCCTTATTGTTAGCAACTAGGCTTTATGGTCCAGCTATTTTGCTAGGTATTCTGTAGAAAGAAATCAGTAACAAAAGGGTGAAATAGAAAGAAGAAACATTGTAGGAAAATTGTCTTCTCGTGTAAATTGGAAATGATGGATGACATCCTCTTGCTTAGCATAGCAACTCACACTAGAATAGGCCCATTGAAGCAGTGGGAATTTGGCCAGTCAATTCCTCTATAAATTCTATTAATTTAAATGTACCCACTTTAGTTGTGACTTTAGTGCAGTAGGTTAAAACTGGACTCTTAGGTTAACACTCTAAAGCAGAACACTTTAGAATTGATACATTTGAATCAATGTAACCTGTGGAAGAGCTGACTCACCAAATCACCACTACTGTAGTTCTAATTGAACTTCCTCAGCTAAGCAGCAGGATTTCAGCCAATAAATAACTTGCCTTGCAAATCTAAATCAAATGTTAAAAGCCATCTTAACTGTTTCACATCACACTCTTAGCATTTACTCAATATAGTATGTGTGGCTCTTCCAGGTGGAGTATTTGTAGCACTTTATATGCACTTTAGACAGCAGTGTATTTGCTGCCTTCCAAACAGTGGAAGGCATAAACTGTTTCCAACTGTGACACAGTGTGCCAGTCTCTCCCACTCTCCTGTTTTCCTGTGCTTCTTAAAATTATTTAATGCAGGTGTCTGCTGTGTTGGAAGCATTCAGTTTAGCATTATTCCAGTTTACGAACCAGAGAGAGAGAAAGAAGACCATTTCATTTAAAACAGTGGGTTTATTGAAGGCATCTCATTTGTAGGTGTGTTAGCAGTAGCTGTCCTCTGCCAGTTTAGTGCCAGAGTGCTAGAGAAAGGGGGAATAAAATACAGTCAGAAGACATTATCATTTTAAAGATTTATACAGGTTCTTCAAGCCTTTCCCTGTTTCATGAAGAAATGCTGATTTCTTAAGAGAGAAGAGGCATAGAGTAGTGTGGGTAGAAGTTCTTGCAAGATCTACACTTAAGTAGCACCAACCAGCACAAAGCAGAGAGGAACAAATGATCCATCTGGATAAGCTCTGTTTCTTTAAAATAACAATGTTCAGAACCAAAATGCACTTCATGTCTAGGATCGGGTATCCTTTTATTATCTAGGCAGCACTACAGATCACAGGCTAAAGGGACCCCTGGTTTCAGAGAGAACTTTGCAAATCACACAGAAGTATGTTCCAGAAAGGAAAGCTACGTTTAATGGATAGCTCAATATAATAATCTTCAGCTTCATGATCACAACTTCTTGACATCTGAAAGATGGTCCACCTTGTGCAGAATGATCATAAATGGTCATAAATGGTAATGGAATAGAACACTAGAGCACTGGTAATGTCCATTCTCCCGATCTCCCTTGCAACCCTCTTTCTCTCATTCACCCCCAGCTCCACATAGTGTCTTTTAACTGTATTTAGCACAGCTTTATTGTTATTTACTGGATAATTTAGTTTTTCTCTTCAGTGTTGTTAAATCTAAATAAAGGCAGTTTGACACTCTAAAAGAAGATGTTTCTATCTACTGTTAGGAGTAAATCCTTGAATGACGTCAGTGCAGATGAGCTGCAAACAATCCGTCAGCTACGTTATGAGGAGCTTCAGAGGATAAGATCTCAGTTAAAAGAACAAGATGAACAATGGCAAGATGTAAGTATGTTGAACTTGTCCACCTTCCATCTTCAGCCGTGCCTTTGGACATACTCTATAACCCTAACAGTCATAGTAGCCACACTCTGGATCTCATCTGGTGGATCTGGTAATGTGAAGGTGAACAGGTTATTTGTGTCTCTGTTGTCATGGTCAGATCAGCATCTTTAGTTTTAGACAGGCAATTGATGTAAACCTCTGCAAGATGATGGAACAATTTCAAATGATCTCCCCCCAGGCACCTGATTAATATGAATGTTTTCCTGAATCCTCGGAAGCCCTGACTGAAAGTAGAAATAGCAAGAGCAGATGACACTGTCATTCCTATGTACCTTCTGCCTACTTGCAGAAACAAGTCAGCCCCTTGCTTTAGTGTGGGGCGGAGGGCAATGAAACAGGAAGGGCCAGGTAGATCATTATTGGAGGAAAACTTGGGAAGAACCAGTCCACAAACAGGCTGTAATGTACCTTAAGAGAGATGTTGCAGCAGCAAGGGCAGCTATGAGAACCCAGGCCTCTCTTACCATTAAATTTGATATAGTGTCAAATTTACCATTGGTAGTTCTTATTTGAAAAGCTGGGAGGTAAATTCCAAACAACTCCTGACTGGGGAGGAGTTTGAAATGACGCACTCCCCACAAGCCATTTGTAGAGTGAACTCACCTTAAGGAGTAGACCTGGCATGATGAACAACTGCCACAAAATGTTGGGACTCTAATATATTATATTTATATAAAATAATATATATAATTTTTCAGAAGTACCCACAAGATCTTAGTGCACAACCTAAAAAAGATGCATTATCATTGAAAGCTAGCTGTTTGCCATTTGCTTAAATTTGTTAGTGATCTAATAAAGGCACCACATGTGCTTGCATTTGCATTGTTTTGGGGATCACACAGCCTTTTAATATTTTTTTCATTAGGTTTTAGACCTGGGAGAGTTTGTTCATGACTAAAGTACAGTTCCCATTTTTTACTTTTATATCTGACTGTTAGATGTTAGGGGCAAGTGGATGCCAGGAAAGTTCTCAAATTACTCATGTTGGATGCAACATGGATAAAGTTGTGGGGGAAGGATTGGTATGGAGATGGAAGCACTTAGTGCCTAGTTCTCTCTCCATTGATTCTCCCCCACAAATGCCCTTTCCCACCTAGGATAAGCAGTCCACTAGCAGCCAGTTGTTCTATTGTGTAAATTCTTGCCTGTTTGCCTGGTGAAAGGTTAAAATGGGTTTTGATTGTATTTTCTTTCTTCATTTAGGGACAAGTTAGGTAAGAACCATTCAGTAGCTGCTTGTTTGATTGTACCAGCTTAGGTTAGGGGCCTGTCTATACTCTTGTCCCCATAAGTCCAGATTCGTTGTCTCAGGATCATATAAATATATATATTCCTTTGATTTAACATTTAGAAAAGAAGAAAACTTTTGGTTACTTTCTCTGGGGTCAGCTGTTCTCAATATCCATTTTTGGCTGCATACCTCAGCCAAGCAAACCGGTCCATATTGATATAATAGAAGGCATAAAAGATTATCATGAGCTGTTCTCTCAAATTAAATATAAATAGCAGTTGTAGTTATTGTTTTCACAACAGTGCCTTTAACATTAAAAATGCATTAAGCATTAGTATGAAAAGTTGGAATAACTTTTTACATTGTAATTAATTTCTTTAACATCATTGTACATTTCTCTGTTTGTAAAATATTAAAAACTTAACACTGGCTTTTTCAAATGAAGAGAAGATAACCAATATCCAGTATTCTTAGGCACAAATGCTGTAGAAAGATACTTGAGAATGAAGGAACACTAGACGTGTAAAATGAAATTAGGGCACCTGAGCATCCAGTCAGGATTAACAGTCTTGGCTAGGTAATCAGATACTTAAGTGTTCACAGCAGTAGCTTCCTCACCAGGTCCGCAGACAATGTTATATTCATTCGTGTGACTTAAATTTAGGATCTGGCAAAATGGAAAAGCAGGCGGAAGAGTCACACTTCTGATTTGCAAAAGAAAAAGGAGGAAAGAGAAGAAATTGAGCGGAGATCTTCTGAGAGTTCTGAAAGGCACAGCAAATCATTGAGAGAAATGCAGAGAGACAGGTAGGCTGGTAAACAGTATTCAGTAATTCTAACCGCTCTGTTATAAGCATATTTACTTAGAAGTAAGCCGCATTGAGTTTATTTGACTCACATTGTAGTTCTGTAGGGATTCTGTGAAGTTCTTTAGAAGAGAGAAAGAGAGCCTAAAGCACTTTAATGCTCAAGAATTGATCTTTCCTTATATGTCAGATTGTAATAGCATTTTTTGGTATCACCTGGCAGGACAAAGTTCCAAATAGAGTAGTCCTAGAATGAGCTGGAATGTTTAGCATGTATACATTACTGAAACAGTGACGTCTACGTTGGCTTGGGCATATCGTGAGAATGGCTGACGGTCGGATTCCAAAAGATCTCCTGTATGGAGAATTAGTGCAGGGAAATTGCCCCAGAGGGAGACCACATCTGCGATACAAGGATATCTGCAAGCGGGATCTGAACGCCTTAGGAATGGACTTCAACAGATGGGAAACTTTGACATCTGGGTGTTCAGCCTGGAGGCAGGCGGTGTATCATGGCCTATCCCAATTTGAAGAAACATTTGTTCAGCAGGCCGATGCCAAGAGGCAGTCCTGAAACCAGCAAAATCAGGGAGCTGGACAGGGGACAGATTGTATTTGTCTTCAGTGTGGAAGGGACTGTCACTCTCGAATTGGCCTTCTCAGCCACACTAGATGCTGTTCCAAGACCTCCATACGGAGCATGTTACCATAGTCTATTGAGACTGAAGTATGCCTTTTTTTTTAAAAAAAAAGAATTTTTGAAGAGTGTGAATACTGAAGTTTCAATTAACTCATAGTATTAACTGATCTATTGAGACTGAAGGATGCCTTTAAAAAAAAAACAGAATTTTTGAAGAGTGTGAATACGGAAGTTTCAATTAACTCATAGTATTAACTGGGTAGATTTTCAACTTGTTTTTCTGTCCATGCTCATGGTTATTTAATTTACACCCAGATCCTAAATTTATTTACTTTGAAGAAAAATCTATTGTATATATTATGGCATATTTTGAAGTCTGTATCCTTGGATTAAGAGGATGTGTAGCTTTTCATTGTTTTTACTTGAAATGGGGCTAGAATGATATTTTTTACCCAAATTGTGTCTTCTTCCTTCCCTTTCCTAAGACAGAAATTTTTAAGGGGCTGGTTTTCTTGCAAAAGAATGTTACCAGAAGCATCTGTTTACGGTCTGTCCTGAGCTCAGTGTGTCCCTAGTTGAATGAGAAGCAAATATATTTAGATATAACTAATAAAATATAGAAATAACGAATACAATTTCTGTCTATAGTTTTTAATAGTCTTATAGTTTTCCGTAGCCATGCCTTTAAAATTAAATGGCTGTATTGATTTGTGTCTGTGCTGCATTGAAGATCTTTCTCTGAAAAACTCTTTTTGAATCAGAAAAGAAACTCATTGAACTTACTCTTTATGATTTAGCATAGTCATTATATAAAGACATCGATCTTTAGTAAAAAAATCTTGCAAAACTTTCCCATGGATCCTTTATAGCAAAAGCACTCTGGAAATATGCATCTGTACAGTGTTTGTTTGTGGAAAAAGAAAGAAGTGCAGGGTCTGTTAGCAGTGCTTGGATAGAGCATGTCTAGTAGCCATTTAATAGCACAAGGGTGAATGAAAGCTCACCTGTTCTTTAGTTTGCTGATGTCATAATGCTTTTGTTTTGTCCCTAGGGAGGGCAAAGATCAAGGGCTGTACTCTACCCGTCAGCAGAGAGAACACAGACAAATGTATTTATCAAGTGATGATGTATTTACTGAAGAGAAAGAACCTTCAAGACCTTCAAAAGATCATCTTGTTGAAAATGATGCTGCCAACCTTATGAAAGAAAATGAAGAAAACAGTAAAGAGAGTGAGAAAAAAGCAGAACGTTCTATAAGAGTTGAAACTCAGATTCCACTTAAGAGCATGACAGAAGAAAAGAGCCAACCCTCTTTGTCAACTTACAATTCAGTAAATGCACAAACTGGGGCAGCTCGAATTTCAGCTTCTCTCCCAAGAAGTTACCAGAAAACTGATACTGCCAGGCTAACGTCAGTGGTTACGCCAAGGCCTTTTGGAGTCCATTCAAGAGGAATCTCATCACTTCCTAGGTCTTTTACGGTAAAGCTTTCATCTTCTTTACTGTTTGTTTGGGTAACTATTGTGAGTGAACTGAAAAGGGCTTTTACCTTTTTCTTCAGAAGTATTATATATATATAGATAGATATAGAGATAGATATAGATATAGATATATCTAATCAGCAGCAGTGGTGAAGAGCAAAATTTTCCTGTTGTTTAAAATGTCGAGGAAAATCTTTTTGTGGTATTTAATAAATTTTTTGATTTCTCAATTGGTGTTTCAAAACTACCACTCAGAAATTTGCAACAGAACAATACAGTATTACTTAAAGAAAATCCAAACATTGCTCTCTTTTCTCCCTCATTATTTTCTTTGGGACTTCTAACTGGTCTTGTGCCTTTTTGTGGTCATTATATCAAAGTATTTTGTTTTTATTTACTTGTTTAATCTGAGTACACACTACTCTGGGCAACACCACAAATCGTGATTTTAAAGAGTTTGATTATTTCATTTCATATCTTCCAGTGTTTACATTCTCTCTTTTTTTCATAATTGTATCCTGACCAGAACTAGCTGGATGGCCCATGAGTTAGGTATCTGCCTCTGAAGCCAGAGGCTAGGGAGTCAATTCCCTCCCCCCATGCCTCCTGGGAGAAGAGCCAGCCTGTGTGGCCTTGGGCAAGCTGCACAGTCCCAGAATGTCCCCAGAAGGAGGGAATGGTAAACCACTTCTGAGTACTTTCCACCTAGAAAATCCTGAAGAAAGGGTCACCTTAAATAAGAATTGACTTAACGGCACACATTTATTATTACTTCTTATTATCCTGGCCAGAGCTACATTTTATTTTTTCTTAAGCTGTATTAATGGGGCTCATTATATAATTTCACATGTGTTTGTGGCCTGGGAAAAAGCATGGGAATGAACTTAATATTTTTTGTATTGGAACCATTTTTGGTGGGGGGGGGATAGAACTCTTTTAAAGCGTATTCTCCTCTTCCTCCTAGATGGATGATGCCTCAAAATATAATGGAGATACAGATAGGTCCAGGAAAGCTCAAAGTACATACACCAGCAACTCATTCTCTAAGCCAGAAGCTATACAAAGCCATTCTACAAGCGATCTAAGAAATGTAGAAGACAACATGATTGGGGCAAGATACTCACCTTCAAGGAATATTTCTGCTACACCTGAAGCTGTAGATGAGGATCATGTTGGTTCTAAATCAGAGCATTCTACCGTCCATGACTCAGTTACAGCTGCATCCTCAGAAGCAGAAGAGAGAAGCTTTCCAGGGGCTGAGGTTTCAAGGGTGCAGGTGAATATTTGAAAAATGTAGTACTTCTACTCTGAACATTTTATTTCAATGCCAGCAATTTGCTAGAAGCTATACATACAAAATATATGTGCAAAATCTGCTGAATGTTACCTGGAGTCTCCATGGATGAAAAGAAGTAGTTGATGGGCTGAAAATTACCTAGTAGGCTGAGAATGCATCAGGCTTAAAACAGCTCAGTAATGGTTTTATTAGAGAAGTGGAATTGATAAAGGAGATATTCTGCCTGATTAATGGATGGGAGAAGGGCATAGACAAGATGCATACCCTGCCCACGAGCATCTCCTAATAGAACACTGTTCAGAAAGAATCGCATTTAATAAAATTAGAATAATAGCTTGGAGGAAAATAATTTTTACATTAAAATTTTTCAAATTCAAAAATAACTTCAGGAAGTAGTATGACAGTGAATAAGAGGTGAGGCCTACTATTTTTCAATTCTCTATGGAAATTTAATTAAGGAATTTTTGAATTTTCTAGACTACAAATACCATTAAATCTCATTTTGAGGAGTTCTATATACCTTGCACACCGCTAAATATAGCTCACCTGAGAGAAGGCCTAAACTGGAAGGCTTTGAGGCTGAACTAACCCTTTCTGTACCTAAGCTTCCTGCTCGGAAATAAAACAACTTCCAGATAGCAACAAGGCAGGACCAGAAACTTTGGCCACAGTTAGGCCTAGCTCAGCATTTAGCTGTTTGTCAGGTGTAAGGTAGATAGAGCTCCCAGAATGGAGAATTATACTATTTGTAGTTCAGACAATCCAAAATTTCTATCCCTGCTTGGCACCCAGTGTGGTGTAGTGGATAGAGTAATGAACTAATACTCAGGAGGGCGTGGTTTGAATCTCCACTCAGCCTTGGAGGCTCACTGTGGGTGTGGAATTCGTAAAGCCACTCCTTAAATACCTCACTTACTATGAAAACCCTATTAGAGTTGCTACAAAATTCCTTAATTGATGACACATAACAACAACTTGGCATCAGCAAGGCAGTGTGAACAAATGTCAACTGAAATCCTTAACGCAGATGAGGTATCCAAATGATTGAAATCAGAGGGTTTGGAAATGTAAATGAAGCAGGTTGTCACCTGCCAGCAACTTGATATATTCTTCCCATTGTACAGTATCTTCAAACATTGATGGTTGTATACTAGCAGCAATGAACACAACAGTGTAAACTTCAGCAGCAAATTCCCACTAGGAAAGAAGTCAGCACTTATATATTTCTATTGTCACCTGCCAGTTGCATGACTTGGCATGCAACAAGAATTGCAAGCGATGATTATTATTTGACTGGCAGCAATTCACTGCTGACATTTATGCCCTTGGACTTAAGCCAGTGTATGTAAATAATAGGATTCTGTGTAGAGTTCAATGTAGTTTGTTTATTATTACTTATTTATTAAAATTATTTAGGGTTTTTGTTTTTTTCTACCACCAGATCTTTCAAAGAATTATAAATTAGAAAAAAATATTAAAAACAAAAACAAATAAAGACTTTTTAAACACAAATGTTGTTATTTGTGTATAATGGAAGTTAAAGCCATTTGTTTTATGTCCTAGCTGTAACTATTTCATTTCTTTTTGTAGTTATGTGATGTGTGCCCTCACTACTTGGGTGTGCTTTTTATAAGAGGCCGACTGCCTTTATCATTCTATTTCTACTTTTTTAGCAGCCATAAATAACCATTTAAGTTAGTTTGGAACAATGAGAAAGGAAAGAGTTAGGTTTTTTTTTAAATCACATGTATAGTTGTTCTCCAGCTCTAAAGGAATTGTTCACTGCAGTGTGCTGTAGTCGAGCAAAGTAATGGAATATTGATTGGAGTTTAATAGTAGGTAATAGTTCTTTTGTGTCTGAGTCTCTGGGAAACAGACATTTGAGACTGGGCTCACTTGAGTGCACTAAGTAATACCCTGAGCCCAGAATTGCTGCTGCTGCTTAGACAAAGGTAATACACACATATTATGGGGGGAATATATTGAAAAGTGTATTCATTTTATTTTTCAGAAAGGGGAAGATACTTCGCAATAAGTGATTGCACTTGTCTTCTGAGATGTATCTGTTTCGTTTATCTTTTCCTAGCTCAAATCTTGAGTGCTCTCTTCCCTTACAGTTTTCCAATTGTGTTTGCTGTTGATCTAAATCATCGTAAACATTACACTGCTCCTGTTACGAATGTGAGACCTTCCTTGAGGTGGGATAGGTGACGAATCAAGCAAATACCTTTATACTGTAGCTTAAAAATGTGGCTTGTTCAGGACTTTGCTGCGGAAAGAGATTTAAAAGAGGTTTTCCCACCCCAACAAAAATGTATTGCCAAAATGTATTGTCACAGCTGCAGTACCTGTGGAATACTACCTTGAGTGTGCTTCAGTTGTTCATACAGTTCAGTGAAGAACTGTTTACATTTTTAAACCCGCTTTGGATAGCATGCCTTTCGTGCTCAACATATTGTTCGGGAAGCCTCAGTAGAACTGGCTAGAACACAGATGCAGTAGCCTTTGTTCTGTACAAAGGTCAGACATCAAGGCATAAAACAGGACATGGTAGCCCAAACAAGAGAGATGGCAGATTGGTAATCACAGGAATACTATGCTGTACTCAAGTCTTGGACTCTGTATGTGGACTAAGTTATACTAGTTGTTTCCAGAGATTACATGAACAGAGTTGTGCTCCCAGAAGTAAAAGACACAGTTTTTGCCAGTTCCCTCTAGGCTTCTCAGAAAGCTGTTGCAGAGGATCAGGAGACCTGTGGCATAAGAGGCAGCAAGGAAAAGAAAGGAAAAAAATAGGGGGGGGGAATAACTCCTCCTCTCCCCTCCTGTACATGCGTAGATCTCCATATGTATGCCATGGATCATTACCTGGTGGTTATGAACTTTTTAAAAAATCAGTAAATGACACTTGCTTAATATTATTACATATAGATGAGTTATACGTAATAAAATAATTTGCTTTCTGCAAGTAAAGAAAAATTGCTGGTTTCCCCTGAAAGTCATGACAGTACAAGGATATTTGAGTATATGAGGAGTGAATTTCTACTGTCCGGGTTCTTTTAGCATTTTTATTTTGGTGTGGTGATGGTAACAATAACCCCCTTCACATTTTAATTCATTTTTTTTCTATAGTCATTTATATACATATTAAAATTTAACTGTCTGGAGAAATATCTTTAACAATCATGTTAAAAAGTCCCAACTACCCAATATAATTTTTATAAGCATAAGATGTTTAAAATTAGTTGCCAGAGGAAAGCATTATCTAGCCTTCTTGGTTGGGAAAAGGCTTCTCGCTGTTCAACAGATAATTGAAAAGCCAGCGTTGTACATGGACTCATTTATTTCGGGTATAGACTTTCCTTCACAGAGATGCCTGTGACACCAGATACTACAGTGTCATGTTTTATTTTTTATTTATTTTTTTCAGGACCAGTACAGTGATATGAGAATCAGTATAAACCAGAGACCAGGCAGCAGTCGGGGCTTTGGATTTGAAATATACCAGAATCCTTCTGGAGTCTTTGTAAAGTCAGTAGAAGAAGGTAAAAATCTATAGATTGCTCTTCATGTATTTGTCTCAACAAAGTTAGCAGAAATCAAATAACAGACCTAAGACTGTGGAAGAGGGGAAGCAAATGAGTCTGGTGAATAGAGAATGCATTACGGTTGATGTTTATTTTGTATTTTATTCAAGGTTAAATATGTTATGTCAGCTGTCAAAGGCACATCTCTACCAGCAGAAAATGTTTCTTTTCTCATAGATTAACAAAGTTTGTGGAAATCTATAATGCATTGTGCTAACTTTCTCATGCATTTGTGTTTTGCTTTTTATTTAGGAATGCAGGTACATAAAAAAAGCTGACCTAGATCAGGTCTATCTTGTCACATAGTGGCCAGCCAGTTGCCTGTGGGAAGCTCAGAGACAGAATATAGGTGCAACAACTTCCTCCATATTTGTTGCTTCCACCCTTCTGGCAACTGATACACAGAGACATAGTATGTATTTAGCATGGGTAGCAGCCACTGAAAGCACTATCATTGCTGAATTTGTTCAGAAAGGAAGCTCCCGGCTGTTACTGGGACAGGAACAACAAGCTTGGGAGAAGCTAGGTCTAGCGAAGCCCCAAAGCCTTCCAATTGAGGCCTTTATTCCAAGTGAGCCACATTTACATGTCTGTAATGTGTCCGTTAAGAAGAACACCCAGAATGGGAAATTATAAAATTTTTAATCCCAGAAATCCCATCCCTATTGCCCAATGTCCCTGGAAAGGCACCCATGTTGCTGCCCGTCTTGTGGTATTCAGTTCCACAGTTTAGCTAAGTGCTGTGTGAAGAAGTACCCCCTTTTATTTGCCATGAATCTCCTACCATTTGGGTTTAGTGGGTGACCCTGGGTTCTTATAGTATGAGACAGTGAAGTTGATTCAAGCCCTTGATCATTTTTCAGAAACAGCTAAATCTAAAGACTAAAAATGTACTTTCACACATGATTTTGTGGATTTCCACTTCATTACATGCATTATGTGCAACCTGGGAGAATAGATACATATTTGGAGGAAAATATGTGTGGAACATTGGGGAACAGAGTTAAAAGGTACCAGCAAAGTGGTGGTCTCAGTTTTACAGTTATTGAAGCTGTCAGTGAGGAACAGATTAAAACCTTTGTTTAATCCAGGTATAAAATCTTTATGCAGTCTATGTATATGAAAGAGTTTAGCCTCTAAGTATGTTTTAGTAAGTGAGGGATTGAAATCCTCAGGCCCAGAGAAAATAGAAATACCAAATTACAAGGGGTAAGAATTGCATAAGCCATGGTTGTAAGAGAAATGGATGGCAATATAGGCAAACCTGCATAGATGGGCTGATTAACATTCAAAGACAGATAAAAAGCCCTTGCCCTTAGTCAAGCTAGAGGATATAGATTTGAATTGCTCGATGAAATCTACTTCAGCTGTTTCTTCTTGAAAGCTGTCCCCCAGGGTTTTTTGTTCAGAAGATGTTAACTTTTGTCAGATTTGTGTTCATTGATTCTTTTGTTTAGATAATGGGCTGTTCATTATATGTTAAATGTAGCAAGACACTGTTGACAAATGATGGGTTGTGTTATTAGAAGTGGAGCAGGTCTCTGAATCCTGGTGGCATTTTTAAGTCTTTTAGTAGTGCTTCAGTGGGGGGTGGAGTTGGTATTTGAGGCTGCTAGAGGGTCTTACCTGTAGTCAGTGTTGTTGTCCAGGATGTGCTATAGATTGTAATTTAGTGTTTGAGGGATTTTTGGCTGGGTATGGATGTGACAACAAATAATATTCTGTTGTTGTCTGTTCTTTGTTTATCCTGCAGAAGATTGTTCCTGGATATCTTCTCTTCCTGATGATGTCTTTTTTCACTGATTAAAATTGTAATTTGAGAAATGCCTGATCTGAATCCTTGACTTGAGTCAGGACCAGTACAGTGATATGTGTCTGAGTCAATGCAGTTGCATGTTTGGCTGGAGAAAATAGCCAAGATCCTGTTGCTTAGCATAATAAGTTGCACTAGAGTAGGCCCACTAAACCAATGGGGATTTGGTGAATCAAGTCCTCTGTAAGGTCCATTGATTCAAATAGGCCTACTACTCGTAAGTTACTTTAGCATAAAGGCATGTCATAGCTTTGTCAGCTGAGTAGTTCCCTTAGCTAGAAGTGTTTGGTATTGGATTTGGGACTTTGTGAATTAAAACAATGCATATTCCCACTGAATTGTTGTGCATCAAGCCTGGAACTCATCCTTGTAAAACAAAGAGTATTTAGAGCCAGTGAGACCTAAGACTTGACGAAACCTGAAGTCAAGTGCCCAGCCATCCATGAAGTGATCTGGGCAAGTTCACTCTCTTTACAGAGGATCAAAGAAGTACATATGTCAGCTTGGTGAAGGAAAATGGGGGATATACTGTAAATATTACAGAGATGTGTGCTTGTAGAAAATGTTGCTGTTTTAAAAAACGACAGTAGATCAAATTCAGGGTCAAAGAATATTAACTATTTTAATCAAGAGCACTTGTATGAAAGTCAATAAAGCCAGTTGCATCCTCTAACTTTAAAACAGAGGTCTCCTCAAGGTTTCTGTTAAATTATGCTGCCAAGCTTATCACTAGCAATTGCTCAGGAAATGTTCTCATTTTCACACACCTAACCATTATGTTCCTTTTGCAACCCTTGTGAGATATAAACTGCTAGATAGCTCAGTGCTTAAGGTATTTGGCTACGGAGCCTGACTCTGGGAGTTTGATTCCCCACCATGCCTCCTTGGCAGCAGCTGGACTCAATTATCCATAGGGTTCTTTCCAGCTCTGCAGTTATAAGCTGATGATGATTATTGAAACAAATAGAAATGGAAAATTATCCACATTTTATAAATTGAGGTTCACGGGAATTATGTTTATAATAGGAATGTGGATCTGTCTGTCCTGTTTCATTGCATTTTTGAGAATCCCATTGGTGTATATGTCCTATCTTAATTCTGGTCCAGGTTGCTTGATTCTCTTCCCTTCACATACATTTTTACATATCTTTATACGTATATTCTTAGATATATGCACATGCATTTTTCTAAGATAAACATTTTGTATGCATTTTTCCATTGTGTATTTTTCAAATGCTTGCATGGTTTTGATCACTTTTTTCCTTGACATGCTTCACAAGCCTTGGAAATGTCAAGATTTTCAAGGCGAAACGTCTCAGGAGGTATAAAATGGATATTTCCATAAAGAAATGTGAGCCTAGGAAATTTCTTGTCCATCATTATTAAAATAATAAAAATAAATCAAACATTTGTTTTTAAAATAACTAAATAAATTACAAAATAACTGTCACAGTTGTGGTGGTGCTCAAGCCCTGAAATGATGTGTTAGATATAGCAAGGCATTACATTGTTTGAGACAAAACTTATTGTAGACCAGTAATTCAAAGGATTCTGCTGGAATAGCTTGCTGCTGTCATGTATTAATATTCATTGTTTTCCCCACTCAGTCATTTTTATGTAGCACAGGAGTTCTCCCTTGCCCACCTGCAAGGAAAAAATCCCAGACAAGCCCACATTGTGTCCATATTTAAAATGACTATTTCTAACAACAAAAATACCAAATTGTTCTTGACATACCAATTATCTATTGGTATCCATTATAGAGTTTTAAATCACTGGAGTGTTTTGTACCTCTCGCAGTTTGTATCGATCTTCCTTTTTTCATTATCTTTAAGCTCAAGAAAGACCTTTTCATATTTTGGCTTTGCTTTTCAGAATAGGTGATCTGGTAATGGAGAATGTAGTGACACAGCAGCTTCTGAAACTTTTATCCCACTGTCTTCTTATGGAAGTTCATATGAAGGGCAATTCACCCCATTCAAGTCTTTGAATAACTTTATTCAAAATTAATGTTTTTTTATTTAGCAGCTACTTTATTAGGATGTTGAAAATGTGCATATACATGTTTACTTCTTTCATTCCAGGTAGTGCTGCAGATTTTTGTCAGCTGAATGTTGATGATGAAATCCTGTCCCTCAATGGCACAAAAGTTTCCCACATGGACGAGAATAAGTGGGAAACAACCATCATCAGTGCACTAGAAACAGGAAACCTTGTCATGGATGTTAGGCGATATGGCAAGAAGGGTGAGTTGTTGCTTAGGCTCACTGCCTGAGCTTGCAAAAGTGTATGTTCTTTGTTCTGATGGGGGAGTCCTTTATTCCTCAGGTGTGCTGCAAATGCCTTTTTCATAAAAGTAAATAACTTCTATTAGTATCTCTCCTTCCGTGAGTGCAGCTTTTATGGTTTTTAAATGTTCTTGTTTTGTGCTGTTGCATGCCTTGAAGTATAGATGCCTGCATTAGCAAGTCTACTTCCCTTGAGAGAACAGGTTTCTTAGAAAAAAATGTACCTGGCATTCCTTGTGCTACCAGGCTTTTTTAGGTGGGTGGGTGGACATGCCACACTGGCATTGTTGCCCTTTTCACAGATGTACAGGAAGGAGCAGAAGTATGTTAGCTAGAAAAGCATCTGTGTAAAGTAAATCAGGCTTTTCCCTGCTTGCCTGGTCTCCTGAAATGAAGAGTCTGCCCACATGCAATTATTCTACCATTGTAGCATGTAGGTACTTGTTCTACCCTGTGTTTGAAAAATAATAGTAAACTTGCTAGTGTTTATTGTGCTAGCTTTTTATTAACTCTTGCTTTTTAGGGGGAAGGCGGTCTATCTCTAAGAGCCCTAACCAATTCTAAAATGTTAATATTTCAGTTCACTTCTTACTTTATCTGTCCTGTCTTTATTCCTTTTTGTGTTTTGTTTGTATGTGTTTCTGTTGATCTTTTTCTCTATACTTTAACATTCCCCCTGCCCACTCTTTTAATTTTTTTGCTCTCCGCGTGCCAATCAGACTGGGGCAAAGACCAGCCTTCCCTGCCATATGCAAGGCACAAAATCCTCAATCTCACAAGTCTGGCTACCAACATTGTAGGTTCTCCTGAAAACAAATGGATTAATGCAACATCTGGAAACCACACTTCAACCAAAAGTCAGACGGTATCTCCGCAAAAAGACCTACACAACAACATCCAGAATGATGTAAGTGTGTATGTATATGTACCAGAACAAAAGTGTGTGTGTTTCCCGTGTGTTATTTGGAAGTATATTCAGCTCTTTTTTACACTCACATACTGCTAGAAACATAATTAGGAATTGCTTGCCTTTTGTATGGCGATAGTAAATGCTTCAGGACAGGATTATTTTTTTTCAGTTAGCCATAACAATTTTGCTTTAATTTGTACTTTTGTTCCAGTAGCACTGCAAATATAAAACTGATTTTTTTTCTTCCTCTTGCAAATGTTTATGAGCAGCTTCTTTGCTTGAGCTTAATAGGCTAATTTGATTAGTACAGATGTTAGAGTACTGGTGGATTGCAGATACTGCAGATACTGAGGCCATGATCCTGGTGCTTTTGTTGGAATCAGTGCTCTCTCTTCCCCCACCCCCACCCCATGTTATAGTGTGTCTTAAGAAAACTGCTGTTAGAGGGATTTTAAAGAGCAAAATACTAAGCAGCTAAGGGACATGATATTTTAGATTCCTAGAACTGCACAGTAAACTGCATCTGTCCAGTGTGGTACCTGTCCGGTGTTGTCTTCATGTGCCTTTACTGTTTCAGCCTTCTGCTCTTTCAATCTACTTCCCTTGAGAGCGGGATAATTCCTCACAGTTCATCTCTGACTTCGGTGTGATTCAGTGGTTGCATTCCAAATAAAGCGAGGTTTAGTGACCTTCAGAAGAGCCTGCTGATTGCCCTCTTGCATGCTCTGAAATATATACTGTATATTCTGTTTCAGTTCTGAGAACAATGTATTAGATTAGGTGCTATCAGACTGTGGAACACTGATGTTAAGAGCCCAACATTTGAGTCATGACTAGGGCGTGGCCTCTTGCTAGCAGAAGAGTTTCTACCTGCTTCTTGGGAGTCCAACCTCTCTTAGATTTCTAAGCAAGAGCCACTTATGTTTTGAGCTGGCTTTTCCATTAGAAAGAGATTAGACAGCAGTTACCTCAGACAGCAGATACTGTGAAGCAGCAGTGGCAGCCCATCTTGGCTTTTGCCCTTGAACTCCCCAGATGTTCCTTTCTCCTGGAAGGTAGTGCTTTGTATGCCTCACAGCTTCTCCCAGGCTTCCTGTCTTGGTATACCACACTGTCCATTGTAATAACTGAAGTAAGTTTCCACTCCTAGTCTAGCAGACATCTGTGCATCGACTAAGGTGGGGGTAACATGGTGCCCTTTGTGTCAGCAGCAAAATGTTTTCTAGCATGTTCAATGTCTGAGTGATCTGGTACTCTGAATTGTTTGCCTTGGCCGAGATAGAGGTATAATGGAATTCTACCACAGAACATCAGCCCAATGTGAAAATGCCATGTTAGTCCTTCCCACACTGTTTCCTCATCCATTTTTCAAGTGATTCAGAAGAGTGCATTCACTACATATAATTTCAGAAATAAATATGAATGTTAAAATCCTTAAGGATTAGAAATAGAAATTATTATTATTATTATAGCTTTTCAGGGGATCAACTTTCAGCCAGTCATTAATGCTGCAGGTTGCATGGTGTTTCAGAGATGCCAGAACAGATGTTATCTCTCTGGAGAACTGGAAAAAAATGTGAGGGTTAAAGCCATGGAGTTTTAATGGTATGTTAACTTAATGTTTTCAGGATTCAGAAACAAACATCAATGGAATGGTGGGAGATACAATTTCCAGTGAGCAAAAAGGTAAAGCCACTAGTTCTTGATTGCTAACTGTACAGAATGGTTGATGATACAGGAAACACTGCATACATGAATTGCTTTACCATTGAAGACATGGTGCAATGTGGATGTGTTACTGCTGTAATATGAGCCTCCCAATAAAAAACATAATAGTTATAAATGATGTTAACATGAAAAAGACTAAGTAGGTTTCTGCTTAGGATGTGTTGTTTTAAAAGAACAGCTAACAAAAGGAAAGTTAATTTCTTTAGATTGTGTAACTAACTGTACGGTGCGTGTGTCTGTGTGGTACAAATGGGAAGAGAGAAATAAGGCAGAGATGAGGAAATTTAACAATAAGCAGCAGTGTTTGGAGTGGAGGTTGCAGTAAGTTCATCCGATTAGCTGCCTACTGTATGCATACAAATAACAGCTTGGATGGAGATTATTCTATAAAGTTCTTTCCTGAAAGGAAATATGAAGAATATTTAGCACTTTCAAAAACAAGCAAGTTTGAAACATATTCATAGAAATAGAATTGCACAGTGTATTTGGGTGCAGGTCTCATGAGACTTGGTAAAATGTTTCTTGAGAAACATCTGAGAAAGTCAAAGAGAGGAAAACCTGACCCATAACATGATACTGGAGTATGTTCTAGGTGGTATTTGCTCCCTTGCAGTTCCCTGTTGTTCCATTGGTCTGTTGTTGGTCCCTTTATGCAGGTGATCATCTTTTCCTAGTTCTAGACCTATAGCACAGGAGGCACCCCATTTACAGATGTAAGGGTATATGGTACTGTTCATTATCAAAGGTTGACATCTTTTAGCCCTAGATTATTGGAAAATGCATTGAGTTCCTCTATAAGCAGATGTGAGCTTCTTGAAGAAAAAAATTGTTTTTTAAATGGATGAAGCTCTTCTGGGCCTGAAAACAGGAGTAGACAAAGTGTGGCCATGTGTAACTCTTTTATGTGGCCTCCCAGCATCCCACCCCTCTCACATCATCTGGCTCCTCTCCATTTTTTTTTAAAATAAAGAATGGCTCTTACATTTCAATTTCACTACATTACTTGTGGTCCCAGCCTCTTTTAGTCTAAAGAGGGGCTCCATGTGCTGCAGTCAGCTTCAAGAGAAGATGTAGCACAGTTGACTTGCATGCTGCCTAGCAAGTGTGAGGGTAAATAAACCATTTTCCAGTTGTGGGGTGGACAGCCCCCCAAATCCAGAGGGGGCATGTGAAGCCACCAAACCTTTGGAAATTGCCCACCCCACCCTAAGCAATCCTTATTTTTATTTTCCACAATTTGTATGCCATCACATGACTAACAAGTTCCACATGCCATGCGTAATCGCCCCTGTGATCTCCACAACAGCTCTGTAAATAATTTAGGCCAAGAAAATAATGCCTTGCCCTGGGCTACTTGATGAATTTCATGGAAGAGCAGGGGTTTGAAATGACATATTTGTGGCTAAAACCCAGATCTTCCAACCCCACTATTGGCTCTAGCTGTGCCTGAACTTTGGATTGATCAATAAAGTATGAGGCACTGGGTTAAGCTGAAGCAGTGAACTAATTCTGTATTATATAGTACACATCTTGTACTACTGTTGGTGACTATTAAAATGTTCTTCTCAAGTTGGATGCTCTGAGTTTAACCAATGGGCAGATGTGAAATAAAACGAGACCACATCACACTGACTTGTTTTGTATCTTCGTATTTTTTTTCAAATAGACACAGAACCTATTTCTTTGAAAAACTTAAAAAGGCGATCACAGTTTTTTGAACAAGGTAAACAGCAACAAAAACCTCCCAACGCTAACATTTCATGTACTTTCTGCATTCTTCTCAACTAGTCTCTGGTGTTGGGTTCTTAGCTTCTTCAGTGGTTGGTTGTTGCAGTTGTGGCAAACTACCTTAATCTATTTCCATTCTTTCCCTAGGGCCATCAGTTTTTTCTCACAATTCATGGGTCTACCTTTGTGGTAATGGGCTTTATGTGTTCCTCTGTACCTCAAAGCTTTTACACTTTTGATGTGTTCACGTGCTGTTCCCTCTGTGGAAGAGTATGAAATACAGGAGCCTGTGTTCAGATTTCCAACTTACTTGCCAGAGTGCTGAGCAAACAGCAAAGATTTATTAGGCCAAGTTCAAATGTATTTCTAATACAATGTATGGTTATTACAAAATTGGCAGTTAGTAAACAAGTTTATATATTTTTTTCATAGCTTTTGGCAAATGTTAAACAGTTCTCTTAAAAAATAACAGAAATTGCAGGAAAATTTGGTTGTGAATGCTTTGGCACAGTTCTGTAAGGCTGCTCCTGGTGCACTTTGCATGTCACATTCCACCTTGTTCATTTTCACTTCAGTAGCTTATATCCAGCTGTTCTACATTTCACTTTTTTTCTGCATATGGTGTGTTTTGATGTGGTGATTAAGGTGACATGTCCGTTTTGCTGTGATATTATTATATATTGCTTGTAGTCTCATAGGTCCATAAAGGTATTTGTTTTAAATCAGTTTTTATTTTCAAAATGACAATACAAAAGGAAAAAAAATCCTCCTCGTACCCTTTTCGGAAGACATGCTCTTGTGATATCTTATTTCATGAAGTTCACCACCTGCTGTGGTTTATGGGAGTAAAGTGGATATCCTAAAGAGACGGGCACGAAACAAACCAAAAACCTGACTAACAGGGCTTGTTCATGCTTTGTTTCATAACCCAATTCAGGGATCCCATTTTGCTGAAGCAAAACAAAACACTGAATCCCCCCCACACACTGTTTTGTCTGCTTCAGCAAACCAGGATTGCCAGCCTGCCCCATTTTCGCTGCCCTCCCCATCACCTCAGCCTACCTGCTGCTACCGCCTGAGGTGCCCTGATCCCTGGGTGCGATCCTCAGAATCAGTGGCCCAGCTTCCCTGCCAGGAGCCAGGTGGCTGCATCTGTGCTTGTGCTCTCTGGCCAGCTCATTGTCAGGGAAGCCCCAGCACTGGGCTTCCCTGGTAGCCAGCAGGTTGGTGGGCACATGTGCAGGTCCTGCAAATCACTGCTGTTGCCTCCCCAGGCCACCTGGGAAAGCTGAGAAGATGGCAGTGATGGCGGTGCCATCGGGTGGGGGGCAGTGGTAGGCCTGAACCGCCATGACCCAGTTGATTTTCCAGGTGGTTCGTGGTTAGCCACAAATCACAAACCACGTGCCCATCTCTAATCCTATACTTCTCAAGCGTCCCTTTATTTTTATAATGTTTTGGTCTGAATTCTCTACAAAGCCATTAGAGAAGAAAATGGAAGATTGAAGCCTGGACTAGGACTAATATACATACATATTAGTCCTTAGAAATTGCATGTAGTAGTACTGGTGGAGTATTATGAATATTACAAATATACGTTATGTTTATAGGAAGGGCTGCTGGAAAGGTTTGGAGCCTGTTCTTTGTGTTTCCATTGTTTTGATTAAGATTTTTCCACAGCCTTTAAAAAAATGAGGAGAAGGAAGCTGCACATCTCCTACCAAGGTTGATCTTCCACTGCAGGGACTCTGCATTCTAAACACAATCATTTGAGAAATTCATGTATATTTAGAACATGTATTCCCTTCCCTCACTATGCAAATAGACACGAGGTGTATTCTGTGATATGTACAAAATGCTGCAATTGTTGTCATTTGGAATTCTTTCACAAACGTAGAACCCTTGGGTGCACTGTTTATGAAAATATTAATGAACTGCCATTGTACTCTTAGGTTTCATGTTATTTATTTATTTATTTACTCACTCACTCACTCACTCGCTCGCTCGCTCGCTCGCTCGCTCGCTCGTCTACTGCTGGTAATAGTGGTGTAATTCTCTGGCAGTTGAGCAGTTCGGCTATCATAAAGGTCCAGTACAGGATGACTCATGCATTTATATTTACTTTTGTTTTTTTATGTAAACTTTTAGTCATCAAAACAACTCCCAGAGAGATTTTGATTTAAAGTAATGACAATAGGCCTATATGCAGTTGCTATGGTAGGCCCACTGAATTAGTGTGGTTTACTTTAAGTGTTGCTATACCATTCAGCAGTTGATTTAGTGGATTTCCTCTAGTTGGGAGTAATAATTGGATTTAGATTCATGGGGTGTGTAGGAGTGCATGTATTATAATTATATGGTTTCCTTAGAGATTTTTTTTACTGAAGGATGACATCTACTTCCACAAATTCAAATTAAAATGATCAGAAAGGGGGCAGGCAGCACATTACATATGGTTAGATTTGGCATTGCAAAAGGCATGTGTAGGAGGATCAAATAAAAATACAATATGTGCTTGAAGCACTGCTTGACAAGTGAATTACAGGCTAATCTATTGCTTTTCCAGCAAGACAAAAACATGTGCAGCTTGTTTTATTTTTTTAAAAAAAGAGAGATCACTGACCTCCAAAGTATGACATGTACACATACTGTACTGTACAGTCAGCTCAACAACATGCTGCTTTGATAGAAATGAGTTTCTGCTAGTTATACTACTATGGTTTTTACTTTATAATAAGCTGATGCTTATTTTAAAAAGGGATGGTGAATTTGTAGTTGTAGCTAGTTTTGAGAAGCATCTTTTGGAGAATGAATGTGATGTTAGAGAACAACCTGTGATGTTAAAACTAAGACACTTTGTTGTTTTTCAAGAGAAAGCAACATTAAGCAGTGTGTCTCTATAGTTATCTATTGTGGTGCTTACACATTTGTGAGAGTGAATGTCCCTTACTTGCCCTAAGCAGCATTACTGGGGTAAAAGGAATATGTACCCACTATCTGGAGAATATGTGCTGTGCTTGTGCAGCCTGTATTTTCACTGTCACTTTCTGTTGGTACCAACAGAACCAATTCTTTGAAGTGAGAAGAAGCAGGTGTTAGAGGCACTTCTTTTGGTACTGTCCAAGTTGCACATGAGCTTTTTCAAACCATGAGGGACATTGGTCTTGCCTGTGGCTCCCCAGGTCCACTGGACTGGTGTCGTTATCTCTCAGCAGTCCCACCGTCATGGGGTTTTCGTTTTGTTCCTCCTGGTAGCAGTCAAATATCTTAATATACCATTCACTGTACAGTATATTGCGAGACCTGGTTCCCTGATCTTTCCTCTGCATTCTTGATTCTCAAAACTCATGTTATTTGTCAGTGAAGCCTATAAAATAAATTTATCAGGGAAAAAATAACGCATAATGCATAAATATGGAATTCCTGTCAGAATGCTGCTGCAGCAGTTCCAGAAGCAGGCTGGAAAAAATACAGTCTTCTCTGAATTTTATTTTGATGTGGTGTCCAACATAAATACCATCACTATCTTGTGATGGTATCAGCTATTGCAGCTGCCATACTTGACATGTCCTACTGACTAAAAGAAGAAGTAAATTCAGAGCACAAACAGCCCAGTGTTTGTTCCTCTGAAGGTGCTTGATGAGTACTTGACCTAATAAAGGGACCAAGGGGAGAGGGTTGTCTTTTTGGTTACAGCTCAAATGATATCCTCCAAGCCAAATTAACAACATATTTTATTTTCTTTTTTATTATTCTCTTCACCAACTTAAATTTTCCAGGAGGCTCAGAACCTGCAATGCCTGATGTAAGTAATACAATTGTATTTATTATGTATGATAAGTAGTAATATAGTAGAAAGAAATAATTCTATGTAACTCTCTCTCTCTCTACACACACACACACACACACACACAAATGAAAATAAATACTTAAGCAATAAGAATTACAAGGTACAGTGACTGAGTAACAGAGAAGAAAAAAAACATAGTAGCATATATGTTTCATAACATATGAAAATTATTCCCAAAACTGGAAAAACAGCCATTCTTTAATCATATCTGTTTCTCTCTTCCCCAGTATTGCTGCTTTATTTCGTTGAATTTTTTTACTATCCAAGCTACTATTGTGAGCATTGGGCCTCTAGAGCTTCAGCTTATTGTTAATCTCTTACTCTACATTTAATGTCAGAGTACACTAAGTATGGGAAGGAGGCAGGTGTACCTTTCTGTGATTTTTTGAGACCTGGAGTCCAGATGCCCATGGATTGGGGGAGGAATAAAACTTAATCCTTCCTTCTATCTGTCACATTTGCCCTGAAAATTTTTGCTTTGAGCGCTTCCCCTCAACAGTTGACATAAAAACGTAAGAAGAGCCCTGTTGGATCAGGTCAAGGGCCCATCTAGTCCAGCTTCTTGTATCTCACAATGGCCCCACAAAATGCCTCTGGGAGCACACATGACAACTAGATACCTGTCTCCTGATACCTCTCCCCTGCATTTTGAAGCAGAAAAAATTGTATGTCTCAGAGGGTGACATAGTTAGAGGAAGAAATATATGTTTGCCTTAACTTCTGGTTTTCTGGCCTGGTTGGTTTAATTGGATGGGATTAAAGAATTGTTTGCAGAGCAGACTGGACAGCAAAGAAGAGCTTTACTGCGTGTTTCACATTTTGCACATTAAAAGGCAGACACAGGATTGGGAACTGTCCAACTATCATCTAGCATTAAATCTCAGTTTGAGGATTTTTGGACATACCACTGATCTCTAGGTGATCTTTTGTTTACATTGTATTGTAGCTTTCAGTTCCACCCATCAGTGCTCCTAGCCGCTGGGCCTGGGATCAAGAAGAGGAAAGAAAAAGGCAAGAAAAATGGCAGGCAGAACAGGAACGCTTACTTCAGGTGCGACCCTAACTTTTCAACACACATGACCCATCTTGGCTTGGCTCTGGCTTGACCCACCATTGAACAAACTTGCTCTTTTATTTACGCCTTCAGTAGATTCCTGTTTGTAATTAAGGCAAATTTTTGCTCAATACATTTTTTTTTTGCTACTGAGTGAGTATAAAACAATTCTGTATAGAAATATAGGAACTTCCACTGTGAATTCCATACAAGCAGTAAGTTATAGCTGCTGTGCAGTCCCAACCTTATTCATGTTTACTAAGGATCACATTGTATTATGTTAAATTACTCTTAATCCAGTTGTAACCAAGCCGCCTAGAGTGGTCCTCGCTTGACCAGATAGGTGGGATATAAATAAAATAAATAAATAAATCCAAGCAGAATGTGTTACATATTGGTAACATGATCATTTTCTGATGTTAATTTTGATTTTCTTTAGCTATTATGTTTATTGTTTACATTTACAGTTTTAAAATTGTTATCTATTATGTTATTGTGTTATGTACTGCCCAGAGTGGCCTTGGCAGCCAGATGGATGATATAAAAGCCAAATAAATAACCAAATCCATCCATCCGTCCATCCACTTGCTGTTCCCAAGTAGACCCACTGAATCAGATGTTGAATGGTGACTCAGTGCACATGTAAATCCCTGTGATCCAGTGGATCTCCTCTAGTAGGGCTAAGAACTGGGCTTAGACCTATACATTATCTGTTTAGGGCAGATGGCTTCCTGAACAGATTATGTTCCTTTTTAATTCATTTTTGTGCAACAGTTGTCAGATTACTGAAAAAGCTTATGTCTGTTATTTTTTTAGAGAAATCTCCAAGACACTAGGCTCTTAAGGCTGTTACAAGTCTGAATGGTCTACTATCATCCTTGGTCCATGATAAAAACTAAGTTGAAGCATTGCTTTGTCAGAAACACGGAATCTCTTGCTTCTGTGGGAAGCTTCTTCCTTATTTTTTTCTGGAGAAAGAAAAATTAAAGTTTGAAAAGTACCTAGATAATGCCTCGCAAGATGATTGCCTCGCGGGACGATTAATCCACAAGATGATTGGTTTTTGCGATCGCTGTGGCCCTTCGCAAGACGATGTTTTCTATGGACGATTTTCACAAGACGACGATTTTTCCCCATTTGAAGGCATAAAATAGATTTCAATGCATTCCAATGGGGAATCGCATTTCGCAAGACGATGTTTTCTATGGATGATTTTCACAAGATGATTTTTTCCCCATTGGAACGCATTAATTAGATTTCAATACATTCCAGTAGGGAACCGCGTTTCGCAAGATGATGTTTTCACAAGACAACATTTTTCGAGGAACGAGTTAACATCGTCTTGCAAGGCACCACTGTATTTGTACTGTGAATATAGATGATTTCTGTAATGATACAGTATTTGTATTGCAAGAAAACAAAATGTTCAATTAATTGTGTAACTAAATATACCTGCACATTTTTGAAACTAGGAGAAATACAAGCGTGAGCAAGAGAGACTCATGGAAGAATGGCTGAAAGCTCAGCAAGAAGCTGAAAAGGAGAACTCTAAATATTTAAATGAGGTGAGAGCTGGTTTGCTCAGAACTGGGAAACATTATTTGAGAGGGGAAAAAAGAGACAGGACTCAGCATTCCTTAGACAGTTATGCCGTGTATGCTGGAGAATTGTGGGAACTATAGTCCAAAAAACTTAACATTTCTAATCTCTGGTGTGAGCTTTCTTGAATGTGGCAATGATGATGATTCAGGTACATTTATATCCCACTTTTTCTGCAGTAATCTCAAGTCAGTGTATGTGGTTTACCTTCCCCCTACTTTGTCCTACCCTGTGAGGTATCTCAGACTGAGAGATTGATACAGCCACAGAGACAGAAAGAGTGGCCCAAGCTTCCTAGTGAGTGTCATGGCTCAGTTGTTTCCCAAGTGTAGACAACCACATTAGTCCATCAGAAGAAATAACCAAAGATCAGTTGAATCAGAAGACATTTATTAGAATCAATATAAATTGCAGATTGATAGATGACTTTCACATTCAAAAGACTTCATCAGGCATGAAAAAAATAGACAGAATGACAACTGTATATTCTAATTATAATGTAGTATAATTGGTAAATATATATATTAAAATAAATAGATAATAAAGCAAACACATGACCAAATCCCAGATTCAAACAGAAATTGTTACATAATGTAATGTGTTGCACATTACACCATTATGTTACCAATGTGTAACACATTCTGCTTAGATTTGGGACTTGGTTGCTACTGTATTTCATCCAGGACAAACTTCTGTGAAATGCCTTGCTGAACTGAGTTCTTTGTGTTGTCATCTGGTTTTTACCAGCTGTTGCAGATTGAAAATCCAATTAAAGATCTTGCTTAGAAGGGCCAGACAAGTCTTTGTTTTTCTGAGCACCCTTGCCAATATGGAGATAACATACTGGACTAGTTAGAGGACAGGCAATATTATATGTTCATAACTTTCATTTATTTCAGCTTCACTTGTGCAGAGGTTCTGTGGAAGCCTAATTTATAACAAGAGTTGGAAGACTGTATTTAAACTGTCAAGGTTCTTTACTTTTTCTGCCTATAGGCCCAGGCTTTTCCTCACTTGAGATCTTAAAGCAGAAGCTAATTGTTCTTAGCATTAGATTTCCTAAGTTGTGCAGAGAGGTTAGGCTGGATATTAAATGTTCCTGGCTGACTCGGCAAAATGTCAGATCTTGAAGAAGATGCCTGACTCCTGGGGGAGTCCAGCATCTTCTTCAGAATCTGACAGATGGACCTCTGATTGCAACTAGCAAGAGGGCTAACTTCCCGTTGTTAGTGAATGTATTGTGGCATGAATCAAAGTATACTGTATTTGACACTGGCTTTTGTCAAAACAGATACACTGTAGCAAATTTGACAAAAGACATACTAAATACACAGCAGTGGTCAATGGTAGTTGAAATGTTAAAGTTTGATAGTAATTTCATTTTTTTGGCACCTTTCACCCAACAATGACGATTTTCATCCCAGTCTACTCATTTTACTCAGAAACCTCCTAGTCCCAAAATTACTTAGGGAATTTCTTGAGTGATGCTAGTAGGCATTTAAATCTGGGCCTCCCTGTTCCTAGTGTGAAGTTTCAACCACATTTTTACAATTGATCAATAGTACCTGAAAGCGCATTATGTCTCAGCAGAAGCCTGTGGTGACTGAGATGACAGGGAAGTAGCATCTTTGCAGTGGCTCTTTTCCATGTCCTGGCTACTGCTTGATAGTGATCAAAAAAAAAAATTCTTTTACAAATTTGTGAGTATTTCTTAGTAAATGTGTCCAAAGAACAGGAAGACATATTTAAGGGAAAACTTTTGCTACAAAGCCATATGTCAAATTTGAAGTGGGACTGTTGCTCTTGGAGATAAGAGCACACAACTTAGATGCCAGGTTCAGCCTCTGAATTTGCAGTTCAAATTATAAATGTACCTGCTAGCATGTGATGTTGAGGACCCCTAAACTTGGTAGAAGTCCATATTTTTAAATGTCTTCCCGGTGAGAAACCATCATTTATATCTCCAATTGATAGCCAAGCATTTTGCAAAATGAAGCATATCCTGCCATGTCTGTAAGTCTTGGTCTTGTGCTGTCTTCTAGGAACAGTATGAACTGAAATCAGACACAGCGTCTGTAACTCAGCAAGAGCCCCCTGTTTCCTCCTGGGGGACAAATGGAAGCAATAAGGAGGATTATTCTGATGCTGCTAGGCAAGAGGAAGAGGAAATAGAACCGGAGAAGAAGAAAGAAGAGCAGAAACACCTTGAGGCCCAGAGATTACATGAAGCTGCAGCCTTGCAAGCAGAACAAGAAAGGAAGCTCCAACAACTGGAGCGTGAAAGGGAGTATAAAGTACCGGACACAGTATACAGTGTGGAGGAGCGAAGATATAAGGAAGAGGCAGAACAGAAACCACGAGTGGAACAAGCCAAGGATGTTTCAGGGCAAAGGCCCCAATATCAAAGGTCTGATTTTACACTTAGAACGGGATATTTTTGCTTTTGATCAGGAAAAGTGCTGTGGGTGGCATACATAGCCCTAAGACTGCAAAAGATACATAAATAGAATGTTACGTGGATTTGGATTAATGTATCTTTGCACAAGTAGTTATGAATGCAAAGAATAATGGATAAACTGGATGAACAGGATTACTATGAATCTACATAAATTATTAGTTTTAATTCAGTTAATCCAGTCTGTAGTTGATTTCTTCCATTAGTTTATATGAATGTTTTTTGTGTGTTGCACATGAGAAGCAATGGGAATTGCATGAAAAATAGGCCCTTTCATGTATTTTTAAAATAATGAATGTGACATAACATCTGTAATAGTAATGGCTACCTAAGATACCCTCCCTTACTGTGTAAACAGTCTGTGAAAACTGAATTGTTCTGGTGAATTTCCTGCAGACCACTTCAAAGAATCATAGAAAATAGATAGGTTTGGCAAGATTGGGTCTGCATTGGGTTTGGCCATTAAAACAATGCCAGCCAGGATAATCAAGTGAGAGGTGTGCGGAGTACAGTTATGTTGATTCCTGCAGTAGGCTCTCTCTTACATCTCAAGTACCACTGTAGGCATGCTGCATTTTGTACCGTCAGCCCTCAGGGTAATTGTGTGCCTCCAGCCATGTCCCAGTCCTAGCAGAGTCCCTGTTGCCAGACATATTGTGAGACTTTCCTGCTCTGAATCCTCCTCTCCCCTCTTGCCTTAATGAATTAATGTCAGGATTGTTTGTGCTTCATACTGCGGTGGGAATGAATTACCCAAAATGCTCTTGTTCAGGATGTCTCTGGACTCTCTGGAAGGGTCTGAATCCATTTAATTAAATATGGTGAAGAAACCTGTTGTCCAAAATGCATGCATACAGATCATTTAGGTCCCTGTCTTATCACTAAACCATTGTTAACTCTGCTAGATCTCCATGTATATTGCATTGTTGAACAGCAGTGTTTTGTTAACAAGCTCATAGACTGTAAAAGAATGAGTCACCCATTACCTCATATGGAACATGTTGGGTCATCTCCTCTTCATGAGGCTACATTGAGTGAGTGATTTGCAGAAGAACTGTTCAGTTAAGCTCTGCATTCACTGGCTATAGCCATAGCATTGTCAGGTGTGCCGCCAGCAAAATCCTGATCTCAGAGCGGTTGCAGCTACTGAAGCAAAAAAATTGTCATTGAGAGCTAGATTAAATATTTGCCATCTGCTGTACTTTTGCATTCCTGAACCAGCTGGTAAGCAAATACTGATTCTACGATCTGTAGTCAACAAGACTGTGTGACTGTTGTGGGTAAATGATAGATCAACCTGGCCTAAGAGAGCAGATCCAAACTTGAATATTTCAAAGTTGGTAACAGTTTGGGTAGGGGCTTTCCTAGAATAGCTACAGGCCAGGACTTTCTTGGCAAGCAACACAGATAGTTAACCAGTCTACATACTGAGATCTGCTTAGGCTGTGAGAACCACTTAAGCATTTATCCCTTTACGTGATGATGCTATGGAGAGGAACAAATTACAAACTGATTCTGAATGTTAGCTGTCCCTTTCAGAATTTCTAATCAATGGAAAATGCAGTGTGAAGAGATTGAATTTTGGGAGCATTTTGTTTTCCCAAACTACACGACACCAAGAATGGGCAAAATGAGCCCTCTGGATACTCTTGCCCTACAACACCCCCCCCCTGTATTCCTTGTCATTTACCAGATTGTCTGGGCTGACGGGGGCTGTTGTAGTCCAAAAACATCTGGAAACCTGTGCCTTGCCCACTTGTGCTTTGCATATTACAGTTTCTTTCAGAAATGTTACTAGTTGTGTCAATAAAACTGTGCATCTTGTAGATGATATTACACATGCCTTTTAGTCTCACCATTAGAAGGGCACAAAATGTCTCTTCCTCTCACGTGTGTGTGTGTGTGTCCCAGCCCCCAAAATGTATCACAGTGCATGATAGCCACATTTTTTCCTCATAGGGGCTGTTTATTTGTAAACTGAAAATGCTAAGAAGAATGCAGACTGCCAAGTTTTTAAAACTTGTATTGTGGCTCAAAATTATGCAACAGACAACAGGTCTGACTTCCTAATCTGTCATCCCCTTCTCCTACAGCTTCCTGTCTTCTGGGACACAAATCTTGGTCTGCAAGAATTTCTTGTTTAAAAAAAAAAAACAGGGAACTATTGTTCATGGTTCAGTATCTTCCTGCAATACCAGCCAGATGGGTCTGTAATCTTGTATAACCTATTCATTCTTATGTGTATTTATTCTAGACATTATGAGCCATCAAGAAATTCAGATGAGCAATCAAACTACTTTAATGCTGACAGGTAAAAGTGTGCTCTCTCTAATAAATTAGGCCAATGTGAGATTTGTAAGTAAGGGTGTGTTGTTTCATGATATTCTTCTATATTACAGTGTAGCACAGCGGTCCCCAACCTGTTTTGACTGCGGACTGTCTGGAGAAGGCGGGGCATCCCCCACGCCTGTGCGCATGCACAAACAAGCACACGCTTTCTCTTGCATGGGCATGTGAGCACCAGTACAAGCACTGCACCATCGTTTGCACATGCATGTGAGCATTCATGTGCATGCGCAAATAGCAGCATGGCACTCGCACGTGCATGCTGGAGCGTGCACACAGGTGCAAACGGTCTGTGCGGGGGTGAGTGTGTGCAAGGGGTGGGGCAGGAGGTCTGTCTCGGCGGCCCGCTCCCCGTCAGGCCATGGACTGGCACCGGGCCGTGGACCGTGGGTTGGGGACCTCTGGTGTAACACACTGTTACACTGTAATATATTCAACCCTGTTTTTAATTATGTCCTTTTAAAAAATATGTCCTTTGCAGAAATTATGATATACCTTAGGGAAATGTTTCATTTCTTGGTGGTAGTGCTTAAACTTTGATTTAAACAGTATGAAAGATGTGGCATCTTTAATACTGACACATTGAAGTTTTACAATGTGAGGGGGGCATAATTTAATAATATAGCTATTATTCTTTGTGTTTGCCTATCACTATACTTCTGCTTTACTGCGTAAATATTTTATTTTAAAAGACCATTCATGGAGGCTTTGCAAAATGAAATGTCATTTTGGCTATGTTAATGTTAGATCATTCAGTGAAATACACTTGCAGCATCTGCTGGCAACACATGTACAAGTATCGTGAGTTTAGGCTTTTAGAATGTTTAGGCTTTCGGAATAAAAAGAGAACATGTTCTACTGTTATTTCCACCATATTTATCAGGTATGTCAATGAAAAGAAGACTTCTCACCGGGCACTGCTTAGAGCCAGCCCATATAATTCCAGTTGTTTATCTTTAGCCACCATCATCATTATTCTCATTACAAAATGTATTGTGGTAGGCTATTCACCCACATGGTTGTGCAACGTAAACTATAAAAACAATGAGTGGCTGTATAAATGAGCATTAATACTAGCAGTGACAACATTCTTTGCTTGAGTTTATGTATTCATACAGCATGATTTGAAAAACTTATTCAGGATTCCTGTTCCATTTTTATTTATTATATCTGCCATTTAGAATTCATATGCAGATGTCTGCAATTAAATAATAAAATTTTATACTGTAATCATCATCTCATTTCTACCTAGTAAACACTGACATGGGAGCCATCTCCCATCTTCTAAAACTGTTCCTCTCAGAGTGAATGTCCAAGTTGTTGCTGCTTGAACTCACCAGGACTCCTGTTGACCTTAGCATATATTTGCATAACCTTCATTGCTAATTTTAAAATAAAACAAAAATAAGATTGAGCTAACCTTTTTCCAACCGTGCACTTCTACTGACTAATACTGTGATGCACATAAAACAATTTGCATTTTAAGTAATATGCAGTCATATTATAGAAGATGTTTAGTTATATGAGCTGTATGCAGATGATATGGTTTCTTGTTTGTCTGAAGTGTATCTCCATTCACTTGCATGTTAATTTCTATTCTGTAGAATTCATAAGTCAGTGATATCTCCAAATCTGTTCTAGATTCTGATGGCCAAGCACTGTTACATTTGTGACACTTTATTACACTAATGTACTACTTGTAAATTCTCTACAGTATCTATGAATTACATAATTTGTTGGTTATTTCTAGAAGTAAATCGAGATCAACTACAGATCTAGATGATCATCATTCCAACAGAAATGGTGAGTTTTATGATTTGAAAATATAATATATTTTAAAATGAATAATGGGTGAACCCTGTGTTTCCTAATCTTGGATATTAGACTGTTTTTGTCACTGCCCATGTAGTAAGCCTGAGTTATTAAAAGGCGATGGTTCAAGTGTTAGGTCCAGCCTTCAGATTATAGACAATGTATTTGATATGTGTCAATGTGTTAGGTTATATTATGTAGTACTGAATATTAGATGCTATTGTTTCTCTTGGTGGTTAGATTATGGAATTAGTCATAGTTAATTTTCTAGCATCATTCTTCCCCACAGAAGAAAATGTGTGCTTGTACAAAAATGTGTGTGGTGCTACACCTTTCTATTGTTACTTTGTCATGAATCATGACTAATTCTTTGAGGCATGCAAAGTATTCACGCATTATAGAAAATATTCTTTTTATATATTCTCTGCTCTTCAGATACGTGTGTGCTTTCTGCATCTTGAGCTGATTCATTAATTTTTTTTTTAAATTAGATATGAAAAACAAACTCTCCGATCAGTCATGGAATATTGGTGACTCACAGAAGAAATCTCAGAAGGAACAGGGTTTATCAGCAGCTGAGCTGGAAAGACAGCAGATTCTTCAGGAAATGAGAAAGAAAACACCCCTACATACTGACAATAGCTGGATTAGGCAGCGCAGTTCCAGCATGCATAAAGAGCCTGTTGCCCTCCTTGGCAGTAAAATGAGGAGGTAATGGAGATGCTAGGAAGCCTTCCCTCCATGTTTTCTTTTGAACTTCATGATGCTGAAGCTATGGTGGAACTGTCATTTGTGAAGCTTTCCCTCAGAATAGTTTCATTTAGTTTAAAGTACTAATATAGAGAGGTGCTATTAAAATATGTATATATAGAAATGAAGTTTTCCCTTGTATAGTGAGAAATCAGCAATAACAACAGCAAACACACACACACACCTGACTTTTTTAAAGTATATTTTGATGCTTCACCAGATTAGCTTGTGAACCAATGTGCTTTTGATTCCTATTTGAGCTACGTTTGTTGAGAAAAGGGTTCTTCCTTAATTTGGGCATAGGCACATATTGACTGAAACTGAAAAAAGCTCTTCTCAGGTACACCCAAGATCTGAAAAGGCCTCTGGAGTTTGAGCAGACCTGTTCTGGGTATTGGCAGATGATGTTCTTCCTTGCTTTGGAGTGCCCAATGTACAGGCTTTCTCACAAATTGATCTGTGAATCACATTTAAATCCCACTGTCAACATATGGAACTAGTGACAGCATGGGCCTTTGGATCATGTATGTATGCATGCTTTATATATGTACGTATGTACGTGGAAGGCAGCCTGTTTCTGTGCTGGAGGGGAGACCTACGTAGAGATATCTTTTGTCACTTGACAGACACAGGGATTGGTTTCTTCTTTCACAGGCTTGTCTTCTAACCAAGGAAGGGTGTGAGGGAAGCTGCTTTCTCCCTCACTGTTTCCCAGTAACTGGAGGTTCCCTATACCCAACCTGTGTTGCGGTCTCCAGGAATTTGTCCGGCTTCTTTAAAAGCTATCTAAGCTAGGGCTGCATCATTATATTTTGTTTATTTCTTTTTTGATTTTGTGCCATTTTTAGGCCATCTTTCTCCCGGTGAAGGGACCCAAGGCTGCTCACAATGTTAAAACAAGTGAAATTAAGAATACAATAAAATACAGATTAAAAAGCAATTAAACTATGACAATAATTAAACATGCATTAAGTAATTAAAAACATTTAAAAGTTTAAAAGCAAACTTAGAAGACATAAAAACTAATAACCTGGGACTCAGTCGTGGTTATTAAAGGCCTGCCTGAAATGATGGATCCTCAACTGTTGGCAGAAGGATTAAAGAGAGGGGGCCAACCTGATCTCCCAAGGGAGGGCATTCTACTACCTCAGGGTAGCCACAGAAAAATGCTTCTCTCGTGTCTCCATCAAACATTCCTGTAGTGGCAATGGGAATGAACGAAAGGCCTCCTCTGAAGATCTTAAGGGGCTGTACCAGCAGACTGCATGAGCTATATTTGTACATGCCCAAATTAAAGAACACTGCTTTATTAACACATGTCTATGTCACTGAACTTAGAGTGGTTTCTAGATCTGTTTCAGTGATTTGGACATGCCCCATGGATGGCCTGCTTATTTTAATTGAATAGCATATGCTTTGCTATATCATGATGTCTACTTATGTATTTGAATACTTTTGTGTGGGTTTTTGACTATATCATCATTTGCTCTTAAGTATTTTGTATTTTCAAAATGGTTTCATTTGGGAGTGCTATTCAAGAAACACATGCCTAAAGTTTTTTTTTTTCCATAGTGTGTAGAACTAGCTATGCAGCATTTTGGGAGAGATCTTCTAATTCTGATGTACTCTTTTGGGTACCTTTTCATTATAACAAGTGATTTGAATAAACATGTTGAAGCACTGTCCCAAAATACACAATTTAATTACATTGCCTTTCCCCCTACATTGACAAAATATAGTTACCTATAATTCTTTCTTTCAGAGGGGAGAGTTTAGATAATCTTGATTCCTCAAGATCAAACTCTTGGAGGCCTCATTCTTGGATGAATCAGTCTGCATCTTCAATGTCTTTGTCATCCAGTCATGATTTTAGTCGCCATGTGCCTCCTGTGGTGTCCACTTCAAACCGTGCCTATATGCGTACTCCCTCGTCCAACCCGCTGTCTTCTTCAGCCAGTTCTGTGAAGACTTCCTCCTTGCCTCATATTGTCCCCTCTGCGCCATCTCCTGCTCCCCATGTTCAGTCACCAACTTCTGCTTCCCATTCTGGAACCCAACAACGTAGCAGGTAAGTCTGAAAAGCCTTTGCCAACACATAATGTTTTCTTTATTTCCTTTTGGCAAATGACTGTACAGAAAGAATATGTTGAATCTTTCTCTTTCTACAGAGACTAAAAATACAGTTCAAAGTGTATATGAGTGGCCTCCAGCTACCCTTCCATGATGAAACCACAAATTGCTGCAGAAGCAGAATGTTTTATTCAAAACACCAGTTCAACTTAAAGGGCCAATGGGCTTGACATAACCCAGTGTCCACGAGCAGCTGGGCAGTTATCTTCACTCCTGGCCCCGGCTTTGTTGGTTCCCAGAGTCACAGTCTTAGGGAGTGGACTGGAGCTCCTTCTCCTCCACCTTGCAGGTGGTCACCATAGGCTCCCCCTCCTGCCAAGCCATAAGACTCCCTAGTGGCTTCCCCAGGACTGTAACTCTTCCCCAGTTGCCGAACCAAGCTCCACATGCACCTGGCTGCGTTGCTCTGGGGACTGTGATGTAGGATGGGCTGTGTCAGCACCAGGAATTGGTGTAGTGGCACAATTGGAGGAGTGTGCTCCTGCTCTGTTTCAGTGGCGACAATGGGCTCGTCACTGGTTCTCTGCCCAATGCACCTTACACTAGTTAGTTTTCCCTGTCATATGTAGGCAGCCATCTATGAGGACACTTACAAGTCCACCCAGTTGCCTGACTCTGGGTCATGGCGACAAGCCACCTCCCAGACTTCTGTGAAGAACGCTTTCTCTGTTCTTGGCCTCACAAGCTTCTGAGTCCATTGCATCTGCTCACTGGTCCTCCTCAGTTGGGGCTGGTTCCTCCTCCTCCTCCTCCTCCTGTCCCACCATGGCCACACCAGCTCAGTCCAGAGTGTTTCCCATGTATCCATCGTCCCCACTGCAGTCTGTACATAAGCTGCGTGTAGGGCAGGCTGTTGCCGGTCAGGCCAAGATGGGGAGCCCCACTATCTGGGCTAGCAGCCCTCCCACCAGTCTCACGGTGTAGGAAACATTAGAAAGGTGGTACAAATACTTCATAGAATCATAGTGTGTGTTCTCTCCAAAATTTATCCAATTTTTTGTCCTTTTATTGTCAATTTTGTCTATTTATCTTTATTTACCTGATATAAAAATTGGTTTACACATGTTATTTAATAGACTTTCAACATACATTTAGCACTTACGTTGTTAAATCTGTTAATTTCCTCCTCTTCCGATATTATTTGCCTTCTGACAGGATCTATCCCAAAACATTGCAATAAATATTGTCAGTATTAATAAGCACAGGTTACTACATAAATTGAGAGGCATATGCAAGCATTATACATTAGTTTACATTAAAAAAATTACCGTATTTTTTTGCACCATAAGACGCACTTTTTCGTTAGTTTACATTAAAAAAATTAAATCATGAAAGGTGCATTTCATGCTTTTTCATTATTTTTTCTATGACTGAAAGGCCAGTATTCCATTTTGTTTTAAACTGTGGACATGGATGCAAAAAGAAAGTACCAACACAGTGGAAGGTGCATTTCATGCTTATTCATTATTTTTCTGTGACTGAAAGGCCAGTTTTCCATTTTGTTTTAAAGTGTGTTCATGGATGCAAAAAGAAAGTACCAACACAGAAAGTTACTCCTTGCCCCACTCTTCCTTATTCTAGGGTTATTGAATACTTGGATCAGTTATGTGTAGGGATATTGTGTAAACGATACTGGTTTTAAAGAGTAGCCTTACCTTATATACTGCATCTCCTTACTTTAAAATTCTGGATACTAGTTTAAGAACAAGTCAGGCAACATGGTAAAACATGCAGCTTCATAGCTAAGGAACTGACAGGGGACCCTGCATGAAAGAAGTGTGTGAGCCCAGCAGGGAGCGCCTAGTTTCTAAAGTGTTGGTGGTCAGCAATATGAGTCTGGACTTGACTGCAGTCCTATCCACAGAAGTTTCCTTTGGTGTCAGTTCAAAGGGGGTTCTGTTGTATATATCCCAGCCTACTATCATGTTGTCTAACAAGATACAGCTGTTGGGTTTGGGACAAGCTACTTTTAAAGTGCATTGGTAATCATTTCCCACTGATCGGGAGTGAGATAAGAGCCTGAGCCATATGTTGTTGTTTTCTGAATTCAGTATTGTTTTTTTTTTTAACTGTTAAAACAATTTATGTTAGGCCTGTGTGAAACATTAGTTAAACTTGAGCATTTTGTGTAATCCTTCAAATTACAGCTTTATCATTCTCTTCTTGTTAGTTTTCCATTATAGGTCAACAATTTCCCGATTTCTCCCACCCATCTTGGGTCTTGTTTCAGTACTCATTCTATCACATTCTCTTTTCAATTATCTGCCTCTGTCTGGTTTTCTACAATCTGCTTCTCAGCCACATTATCATTCTGTATCTAGGTCGGTGAGTGGAAAGCGAACGTGTTCATACTGTAGAAACGTTCTGGGCAAAGGAGCAGCCATGATCATCGAATCTCTTGGTCTTTGCTATCATTTACATTGTTTTAAGGTGAGAGGTGGGCAAAACAGTATGGAAGTGCCAAGCTTTGCTTTGCAGCTTGTACGGCAACAAAGAAATCTAGTTTCAGGCTTTGCTAATCAAGCATGTGCTAGATTGCTTAAACTGATGCAGCAACTTTTTTCTACTCACACCCAGACTGAGGTGTTTGAATGATTAACTCCTGATGTAAGGTGACACATATTTTGCAGTACTCTTAGTGGTCTCCTGTAATTTTGCAGACATCAGAATTGCCATTCAGCATTAAGGACACACCATGTGTACTCTGAAATAGATTAATTAACATTTTCAGACATACAATTTGTGCTTTTGTATTCACACAATCAGGGGAGCACATGTGTGAGGGAAAGAATAATATCTCCCCGCTACCCTCAGCCATTTCCTCTGTACATGTGGGGCATTGCTGTGAGGGCTAAACACTGGCTGAGGCCAGCTGGAACTGACCACTTCAGTAATAGCATACCTTTAGAACTTTTTCTCTCCTTCCATATGAACCTACCCAGCAGTTAAGATCTAGCCAGGGGGCCCTTTTGAAAGAGCCGTCCCTCAATGAGGTAAGAGGGATGGCTTGTAGACAAAGGGCTTTTTGGGCAGCTGTCCCCAGACTATGGAACGCCGTCGCAATTGAGATTCAACTGGTGCCGACGCTGATGACATTTTGGTGCCAGGTCAAAACCTTCCTGTCCCAGAAGGCTTTTAATTGAAATAATATTAACTGTGGGTCCTGATGGCAATTTTTAGAGTATATATTTTAATTGTCTTATCTTTTTATTGTATTTTAATTGTGCCAGAGACCTTTGGGTAATTTAACTTATTTATATTAGTTTAGTTAGTTAGTTAGTTAGTTAGTTAGTTAGTTAGTTAGTTAGTTAGTTAGTTAGTTAGTTAGTTAGTTAGTTAGTTAGTTAGTTAGTTAGTTAGTTAGTTAGTTAGTTAGTTAGTTAGTTAGTTAGTTAGTTAGTTAGTTAGTTAGTTAGTTAGTTAGTTAGTTAGTTAGTTAGTTAGTTAGTTAGTTAGTTAGTTAGTTAGTTAGTTAGTTAGTTAGTTAGTTAGTTAGTTAGTTAGTTAGTTAGTTAGTTAGTTAGTTAGTTAGTTAGTTAGTTAGTTAGTTAGTTAGTTAGTTAGTTAGTTAGTTAGTTAGTTAGTTAGTTAGTTAGTTAGTTAGTTAGTTAGTTAGTTAGTTAGTTAGTTAGTGAAAGAAAGAAAGAAAGAAAGAAAGAAAGAAAGAAAGAAAGAAAGAAAGAAAGAGGAATAAGTCTGCTTGTCCATGGCCTTCAGGATATTGGTGGAGAACAAGGCACTCATATACAGGCCCATTATTCCATGAACCCTTCTGTTTCTTGTGGAGCTTAGCAAGTCTAACTTGCTTTTCCTCTGCAATGGCTGCAGGGAAGAATATGCTGGGCCTCAGGTGTCTGTGCCGAAACTCTTCTGACAGATTGAGTCTTATTTTATTAATTATTTTGTTATATTGCTACAGAATTCAGAATTCAGGCTGGTAAGTTTCTGATGGATTGTGGCAGCTGTAGTGAAAAAACACTGAAAATTCCATATCCTATTCCAGAGGGCCAGTAGAATTACTTGGATTTTAGTGTAACTTCAAGTGTAGAGTACATGATTGCTATAGCTCCATTATTAAGCTGGCTCTTTTTTATGTGTTAATGAGTTGTATTTGTTTTGAAAATATAATATGGTAGAGCACCTTTAAGAAGCAATATAGTAGAATGTTTTTTTTACAAAATCAAAAATCTCTTTTTAAAATAGTGTTCCTTTCAGAAGTTTCATAGTAATCACATAAAATGGAAAAATAATAATTTAATCTGAGGTGTCCTTACAGCCACTAAAACCCAATAAGAAAGCAGCCTTTTAAATACATCCTTCATAAGCCACTTCTGTACCTCCTTACTGACAAGTGGGCACTACTTTGCATCAGGTGTAATTTTCTCCCAGGAAGGGAGTGTGTACCGTTGCAGCCTAAATGCTCTTTTGAAAACTGCAACATGTGCAGCTTTGTATAAAAGAATGATTAAATAGGGTTCCCATTCTTACTTTGAGAGAGAGTACTGGTTGGCAGGGTTGGGAGCCTTTTAAAAGGCTTCAAAAATGCATTTGAACAGAACTGCAGTGCAGAAAGCACTACTGACAAACAGACAAACAAACAGACCTTTGCTGTGCAGCATATTGAAGAATTAATTGTATAACTCTAGGACAGGTATCATTGTAAATAGGAGCTTGCTCAGATTGTGCTCTCCAAGGAATAGGCAGGACTAACAGAACTAAAAGCAGATCCTGTGACCTATCTAAACTGTTTGTGCCAAAAACTGCTGCTTTTGACTTTTGTGCCAAATAAATCACTCCTGTTTCAGAAAGAAGATTAACTTATCTAACCCCTGGATCATTCCTCTTTACTACTTAAGTTGGGGTGGAATGTTCAGATTTTCACATTCTGATGGTGATATTTCCAGTTTTGTAGTTGCTAATTCTTTTCTTTCTTTTCCCTGGGCAGTGTGTTGCTTGTGAGTGCGACCTTGGGGGCTCACAGGCTGGAACGGAAGTCCGCATCCGAAACAATGAACTTTTCTGCAATGATTGCTATCTCAGATTTAAAAGTACGTAGTATGGTTCCTTCTCACAATTCAAGTCTCTTTAGGGCAGGGGTGGGCAACCTGGTGGGCTTGGGGCCCCCAAGGGCCATACCGGGCCCTGTAATGCCCCCAAATTGCCAGTTTTTAAAAGATTAAATTAGGAGGGGGCTGGGCATCCATGTCTTCTTCTTCTTCTTCTTCTTCTTCTTCTTCTTCTTCTTCTTCTTCTTCTTCTTCTTCTTCTTCTTCTTCTTCTTCTTCTTCTGCATGGGAGGGGGACCTACAACCATCCCATGCAATAACTGGTACTACTGAATACCTCCAGGAGCAGAGAAACGTAGTCAAGTCAATCTGACTTACGGTGACCCCTTTTTCAGGGTTTTCCAGGTAGAGAATACTCAGAAGTGGTTTCCCATTCCTTTCTTCTGTGGGCACCCTGGGACTGTGACCCAAGGCCACAAAAGTTGGCTTTTATTCCAGGAAGTACAGTTGGAGTTTGAGCTTTGAGCCTCTAGCTCCACAGCCAGATACCTAAATCACTACACTATCCAGTCAGCTAAGCTAATTTACCCATCTCCAGCTTTGTTTTGTTTTTTTGAGGGGAGGGGGCTCAAAATCAGCTTTGGGGGAAGGGGCTGCATCCCACCTTTGCTCTAGGGTCATTCTCTCTTATGAATGTGGCATAGGTTATGAATTCATTTATAAGGGGTCTTAATGTTAACTTTCTTTGTATCTATAATATGAAGGGCTGATCTCTCCCTGTTAAAGGGATATCTCACATCTAAGCCAAACAATAGAACATGTACGTCAGAGTATATATCTGGAAATGAACTGATTTTCTGTGCAGCAAGTTCACATCTTCAGATATTTTTATTGAAATACTGGAACAGAGAGGAAACTCGAGTTCTCATGACTCATGTGTGTTATTGAAAAAACTAATGTGTGCTGTTGTCTAAGTTTTTATTTGCTTTTTTCCCATGTACTTGTGCCATCAAGTTGGAACCCTCTCATAGTGACCCTAAAAGGGCTTTCATGGTATGTGTGATATTTAAGGAGTGGTTTTACCAGTCCCACACCCCCAGTGAGTTTCCATGGCCTCCTGACTGAGTCCTAGTGCATTGTTCTGTCCACTACACCACATTGGCCTGTATTTAATCTGATTTGTTTGCTAATAGGTATCTGTGCCTTTTTGAGAGGGATCCATATTGCACTCACTTTCTGCCTGTTCTCTTAGATTGTGTGCAGGTAGCCCTAACATAAGATATTCAGGACTACTGTCTTCTTGCTATCATGCAGCAACATATTAAATCCATCCATCTTTGACAGTACACATATATGGACAGCTCGTGGGGCTAGGCTACATGGATGGCTTTGCATGCTTATAATAAGGCAGAGGCTGCACTGGACACTTTGCAAGCTCCCATTTGTGCATTATAGCAGTGAACTAGTAGCCACAGGAAATTGTCTTCTGGTGCAGTCAATGGACTTAGAACACCATTCTCTAGTCTCTCAGGTCACTTATCGAGAGGAAGAGAGGAATTTTGGAGCCTACAGTTGAGCATCCTGAGCAACGTGGGCTTAATTTTCACATTACAAAATTATGTTTGCAAATACACTTTGACTTGATCGCTCAACACACACCTATTTCTTTGCTTCCCTTTTCTCTAAATTGCATAGGCTGTTCTGTTTTCACTTTCTAAGGGCCAAACTAGATATGACTTGAATAGCATGGAAGCAATTGAACATGCAAGTTGTCATGTAAATAGCTCTAAAATGAATCTAGACACCGCTGGGATCTCAGAAGGCAGAGGGTGTGGGAGTTTATTCCATATACACAAGCTGCTGTTATATCAACTGTTGTTGGATTCCGATCCTCCTTTTGGGTCAATTGCCCTTCTCAAAAAACTGAAATTGATTGGCTTAGATAGTTTCATTAAGTCAAAAGCTAGCTTTTCAAACAATTAAAAGAAGAATTTTTAATTACAGGAATTAGGGAATGCAGCTAATAAGACCTGTTCTCTGTTGTTTTTTCAATTCCCTTCAAAATTGATCAACCGGCTGCTTTTCTTTCCTTGTTTAATTTTAATTTCAGGAATTATGGAATGCAGCTAATAAAACCTGTTCTCCATTGTTTTTTCACATTCCCTTCAAACTTGGTCAATTGGCTGCTTTACTTTCCTTTTTTAAAGGCCCACAAGAGCGGAGGGCTTTTTTTCTTGCCTATGGCTATTCCAAGAATGTAATTACAAGAGTGGTCAAACCAAGAAAACAACACCAAACTGAAGAGGAAAAACAGCCACCCACAAATAAAGTATTTTTGCCATACATCAAAGGGGTCAC